AGTACAGTGCTTTATGTCAACTACCGAGCAAACAAAGACTAATTACCAGAGAAATGTTTACTTTAAGAGGTTTGAATTTTTACCTGCGCAGACTGTGACAAAAGTCTGCACCAAGGTATAGAAGTATCAAAATTTGGATTTTGTTTCTGGGAAATACTCCAAGTAGAGAACGAGCTCCTCCCCTTATCCAACAGAGTCGGTGCAGAACCTTTAAAACAAGAAAATCCACATTCAGTAAAAATGACACGCTCAAATTTCAAAAAGAAAAAGATTCAGAAAAGAAAATGCAAATCCAAACTAACTCAAATGAGACATAAATTCAAGAAGCGACAAATGAAAATAAACTAAAAAGCAAATCCAATAACACACTAAAAGAGACACTAAAACAGTTTTCAGATACGGACGCATCCACAAAACTCAAATCCAAATCCAAATTCACTGAAATTAAACTCAAATAGCAACGAAATTAGCCAATCGCGTAAACCTCGAAACCAAAAACTAACCATCGGCGATCGGTGGTACCACAGCTGCAGCAGCAGCGGATGACGTCTCCGCCTTCCCCGCGTTGTTCGCGTCATCTCCGGCGATTGGAGCCTCGCAGTTCCCACAATCTCCGGGATCCACGGCGGGCGGCGTGCACATTTCTTTGGAACTCTCCGCCGCCGGCATCGGTTTCTCCGCATTTTCCACCTAAAAAAAGCCGCTGAAAAAGTCAAATACCTTCACTCAAATCCGCCACACTCAAATCACCCCCCAAAAAAGAATCCAAGAAAAATCAAGAAAGATCATCCGGATGCGTTTTGTGCTGTCACCTTTTGTCGTTTCGGAGACTCGTGAGGCTTATCTTCAGAAGAAGAAGAAGATCTCTTGCTGTTGTTACCGGAGAGAGATGCACTTCGTCTCGTTGAAACCATGACTCTCTCGTTTTCTCTTTTGTTTTTTGTTTTTTCCTCTTCACAACTCAATTAAGAGATTGGAAAAGATTTGAATTATAAAATTGTTTGTTTTCGGTCTCTATTTCTTCCTTTCTTTATTTTTATAAAATAAAAAGGCTTTTTGGGGACGGAACGGAAGTTTTAACGCCTTGAAGGCTTTTGCATAGACTAAACGCTGCCGTACAAGCATATGATCGTGTCATTAATAGGGATGATCATAGGTCGGGTTGGGTTTAGTTTCCAACAAACTCGATCCGAAAATTTTATACATCCACCTAACACCTGAGTCCGAGTTTAGAGTAATTTCATCCAAATTGAAGCTCAATTCGATTTTTGAGATAAAATTCACTCTAATTTACCCGAAATAATATAAAATCATTAATTTATTTAATAAATAGTCACTTAATTGAAAAATAATATAAATATGAGTATTTTGTAATTATTCCTAAATATGTAATATATTTTTATTATTTTTTGGTCAGGTCGGGTTAGATTTTTTCACCCTAAACCAAACTAGACTCGACCCGAATCCAATTTTTTTAAAGCAACTCGATTGAGTCAAGTCAGGTCGGAACCTGACACCCATCCCTAGTCACTAATATATTAAACATGTCCATCGGTTTGAGTAGGGTGTAAACGAGCCGAGTCGAGCTCAAGTATACTGAGCTCGACTCGAAAACTTGAAATAGAGCTCGACTGAAAACTTACGAGCTTAAAATTTTCAAGTTCGACTCGAACTTGAAATCCTGAACTGAAGCTCGTGAGCAGCTCGAAAAGGCTCAAATGAAAAAAAAATCTTAACTTAACTCGATTGAAGCCTCAAACTCAAACATGAACCTTAAATACATGAAATCTTACTGTATTTTTTAAAAAAAAAACAATACATAAATATTAATATTATTAATAATTTATATTTTAAAAAATAAAATCTTAATATATTATATTTTTGAGCTGCTCACGAGCTTTTTGAGTCAAATATCGAGTAGCTCGTTTCGTCTCGTTAAGAACTCGAGCTCGAGTCGAGTCCATTCGATCCGAGTATTTATCGAGCCTTGATCGAGTCGATCTCGAGTAGCTCGCGATCTGTCTCGTCTCATTTACAGCCCTAGGTTTGAGTTATCAAGATTTTTTTTAAGGGTAAACTACTCATTTAATATCTAAACTATCAATTTGATCAATTTTAACATCTAAACTTTCATATTTTTTCCAAAACTTAACATTATTTTTTGACGCATGTACTAAAATGAAACAGAAGCTAAACTTTAGGCATAATTTTAAAAAAAATAAAAATTAATATTTTAAAATTTAACTTCTTGTACAACTAGACCGGTTGATAGTTAATAATTCATGAAACTTTTCAATCTTGTGGCTAATTTTTTGTTATAACGTTCAGGGAAAAATTTGCTCGAATGATAATGAACCAAAATTATTTGCTTGAATAATGTATATTATACAATAACTTTTAAATCGCAAGCAGCACAGTGCTATTCCAATTTGGGAGACACATGGTGCTCCAATTTTCTATTTACAATAATGATTAAAATTAAATAAACCCCAAACCCTGAATCTTAATATCTAAACACTAACCCTTAAACCCTAAATCAGACTTAAACCTCAAATTATAAACCTTAAACCCTAAATCGTACTTAAACCTCAAATTATAAACCCTAAATCGTACGTTTAAATCATAAATAAAAATTGAAAACATAAATAAAAAAGTATGGAGGAGACGCATTGCACTCCATGCAAATCCCCAAAATTATCCAAATTATATTAGAGTCGCATTGTAAGTCATGCTTCTTAAACTTATACAGTAACAAACACCCTATTTTAGAAAATAATTTCAACTGACCATTACTCGAACTAATAAAAAAATTCCAACACATTATTTAAAAAAATTCCCTAATGTTTTTAATATTGTACTATAGGGACAAAAAGTTAAATATTTTTATATTGATTATCGATATTTGATTTATTGATTAATTAATTCATATCAAATATCACGGAAAATATATTTTATAAATGATTATCCTAATCTAATTTTTTTACTCGCAGTATCATAATTCCTTTTGATATTATTAATTAAATTAAATTAAATATTATCATTTGGATTTGGATTTATTTTTATGCAAGAAAAGTGCTTATGTTGAATTGATTTAACTAATAGAGAGCAATCACATTTAGGGATGGGCATGGACCCGATCCCGACGGGTTATGAACTGATCGGGTCATTTTTTTTAAAAAAATCGTCGGGTCGGGTTTTTTTATGTGATGTTCGAGTTTGGTCAGGTTTGGGTTTATGGTGAAAAATAACCGATCCGATCCGAAAAAAATATAATTTTACTTTATATATTTAGAAATAATTACAATAACACCCCTCTATATATTTAGGAATAATTACAATAATACCCCTCTATATATTATTTTTTTCAATTAAGTCACTATTTTTATTGAATAAAAATATTTTTTTATTATTTCGGGTCGGGTCAGGTTTTTAAGTTATATATCGGGTCGGGTTCGAGTCGGATGAAAACTTATTTTGGTCGGGTCGGGTTGGGTCTCGGGTGAAGGACTCCTTGTTCTCGGGTCGGGTCGGGTGGACCAAAAACCCGACCCATGCCCATCCCTAATCACATTAATTAATTGATTAATCTGTTAATTTTTATTTTTTTCATATTTTTTTAAAATATTAAAATTGAATTTAAAATTTATTAAAAAATCAACAAATAAAATTTTTTAAAATGTTAGGTCATAGGGGTGGATTGTTAATTTGTTATTGTCCTTGGCCGAACAAAATACTTGGATGTAACCCTTCTTCTATAGTACAATAAAACATTATGTCCTTGGCCTAATTAATAATTGAGTTATGATTTGATATATTATATATAAAATATTAAGATTATAATAAAACTTTTAAATATTAATATTTAATGAGTAATTTTAGTGAAAAAATATTATTTTATTTAAATAATCTAGACTTAAAATATTTTATCTGAATATGTACGTGAATTTATCTATATCTTAAAATGAACATAAATTATAAATTGATAAAATAAATAAACATATCACATATCATCATTCAAGGATTGTTTATGATTTTTTCATTATTATTTTATTAAATAATAATTCTTATTAATTTTCCTAATAAAACATATTAGAAATATATTGAATATATATATATTAATTAATTTAATTATATTTTATTATAATAATTAGTATTACTTTTACTTTATATTTAGTTACTCTTCTTCTCATGTAAATCTAGAAAGGTGAATCTGTAATTTAAGATTACTATTATTAAGGTGAACTATCTATTGGTTATCTACTTATAATTTAATTTTTATTTTAATCATTCAATTATTTTTTACATCGCATTTAAAGTTATGTTTAATTTATGATTTAACCACCCGTCATTAAAAATGAATAGTAATGTTGATGTGATATCATAAGATAATATCACGTTAAGATTTAAAAATAATAAGAAAAATATCACGTCAGCATCACTATTAAAATTTTAACGACGAGTGATCAAAACAGAAATAAAAAGTAACATTAGGTATTGTTTTGAAAAAAAATTAGGTTGTGACCAGAAAATAAATTAAGTAACAGATAATTGACCAAATAGATATTTTACCCTTATTATTATTATTATTATTCATAATATTTATTATTTTTAGGTAAATTATACATTTAGTACTTAAATTATCAGTTTTGGTCCGTTTTAATATCAAATTTTCATTTTTTTCAAAATTATACCTAACATTTAGTTTTTACTTCATTTTAATACCTGTCATTAAAAACTTAACACATTTTGTACTAAACTATCAGTTTTGGTCCATAAACTTTCAAAAAAAATTATAAAACTTAACGTTAAATTTTGAATGGGTACTAAAATAGAATAAAAATTAAACTTTAATTATAATTTTAAAAATTAAAAGTTTAGGTATTAAAATAGATGAAAACTGATAATATAGGTGCTAAACCTATGATTTTCTTAGACAAACGCATTAGAACAAAGCTATAAATGCAAAGCTGATTGTATTATGAAAAATCTGGTCCCGGAATTTCCATTCAGCTCTTCCCCAGACAAAATGATTTACAAAATTTCCATCCTTAATTGATTCAGGGTTTTCACTCCGTGCCGGAGATGCCAAAGAGAACGCCAGTTGAGATACAAGTCATAGGCGACGGTGAAGAAGAAGAAGAAGAAGATTCAACTGCGGTAATCCATTCCACTGTTTCAGCTTCAGGTAATGGAACAATTTGCATTTACTCCTCTTCCTCCAGGTGTCGTCCACTTAGAAACTTCAAGCACCAACTCCCTTTTCGTTCTTTTTTCTTCAATGGGTAATGTTTTTTTATCATCCATTTGTGTAATTCTATTAAGTTAAGATCGGTTGTTTGAATGTGCAGATAGAAAGGACACAAGAATCTAGGTTAAGGGCCTGAATTTAGAAAATTATATTAAAATTATAAAGGATGTGAAATTATAAAATTTCAGGAGTTGCAAAATCGGTTGTGAAGATAAAATATAGAGAAAATATCTTAATTATTCGAGAATTTGAAATTTCTAGCACTTAGATCTGTAGTATTGCATTTGTATGCTTCGAGTTTCTTTCGGATAGTTATGGGTTTAGATCATTGGTGTTACTTGTTCAAGTTGTGTTTGAGTTATCTCTGGCTCGAGTCAGTTTTGGATTTTGGTTGTTTCGAGTTTGGGTCAATTCTATTTCAGGTAAAGTTCATAATGTTTGCACGAACTAAACGATGTTGGTGGTAAATGAATTGTTGTTATTCCTTAAGTTTCGGGTTCGAGTACAAGAAATGAATGGGAATGAGCGTTCAATGTTAAATGGTTTGAGAGTTATCTTTGAACATATACTAAAAAATGGCTGTCCCTTTTTCCCATATGTATGGAGTAAGGGGGAGGTAAGTTAGTAGGCTACCCCCAACACCAGGTTGAGAGCAGCTTCCGTAAGAGACCTCCGAATTATGAAATACCCTCCGTAGGACTCGATCCCACGACCTTAAGGTTAAGAACCTTGTGCTCTACCAACTGAGCTGGATGTTCATTTCTTTGAACATATACTAATTTGTCCTTATCCCGGATTAATAATAAAAAATAGAGCTCATATTGTCATTAACTTTTTGTTTTTCTGTTCTCCATATATCTTCAACATAGAAACTTCATACGCAATCCATATTCTTTCTTCCAATCTGTGTAATGTCTTCAACCCCGGATTAATAATAATATCTTTACTTTGTTGATTTTCATTCTATAGGTAATGTTCGTTCTTCCAATCTGTGTAATCATACGCAAAGCGTATGTGCTATCAGGTTAAGATTGGTGGTTTAAGGGTGCTGATTTGTAGCACTGCATTTGGATGCTATGGTGATTTGTTATATCATTTGGATGCTATGGTGATTTGCTATATCTTTAACAGAATTATTAACAGTCTAGGTTCAAGTGTCATGTTTCTGGGTATACTTCATTTTTTTGTAACTTTTTTCATGTATTTGAAGTTCTCATAGATTAGAAGAAATTCGGGCGAGGGTTTGGTACACATTATACTTAAAACTTTTTTATGTATTTTTCATATAATACACATAGTAAAGATTTTCTCCAAAACATATCAAAATGATAATTTGAATCTCATATTGATGGACCGGTTACTTGAAATCTGATGTTTTATTCTTGAGAGCTCTACATGAATTTCATAGCAGGGGCGGATGTACATGGCTCCATAGGGGAGCCATTGCACACCTATTATTTTGAGAAAAAAATTAGTTTAGTTTACTAATGAGAATAGGAAAAAAAATAAGAAACTTTGTACACCCAAATTTTTTAGAACCTAGTATTAAAATTTTGGACTCCATTTTTCAATTTCTAGATCCGTTACTGTTTCATAGTATAGATAGTAGTTGGAACTTTGATATTTGAATCTACTTTGTTGCATGTTCTTCGATGATATGTTTTAGTGCATCACTTTGCCTTGGACGCTATGTTATTTGGACTCTGATTTGAGTATTAGTTATGGATACGCATTCGACACAAGTTTCTTTCATGTTTTCTAAGTTTTTTAATGTATTTGGAGGGTTATATTCTTATAGCTATGTATGAAGATGTGCCGAAAAATGGATATGGGGCATAGATACTTGAGAAAATTGAAGAGATGGGACAATATAGCTTTGAAGGCACCTTGGAGAACATAAGAATTGTGTATTTAAGTTGATCCGTTGATGTTTGCTAGGTCGCTTCTCTCCTAATAAAAGGTCGAGAAGGAGAATTAACAACGGGAACACCAGGCAACAAGGGATGTTAAATAGCAATCAGTTTTCAGACTGCTTTGAGTATGGCCTTTTTAAACTCCTCTCCCTCTCCCTCTCCCTCTCTCACTATTTCCCTCATTCCTAATCTTAAGCTCATTGATTGTTCTTAGGATCATATGGAAGAGCTTCTCGGATGATCGAAGGGATTCTTTTACATATCTTGATTGCTTATGGTTTTCATGGTACATGGATGAATTGTATAAAGAAAGGGTGTTGGCATGGATCGGTCGAAAACAAATTTTCTCGAAGAAATATGTTTTTGTTCCAATAGTGCACTGGTCAGTATAGTTTTTCTGGCCACTAAATCACTAATCATAATGGTCTGCAATTTTCAAGTTGCCTTTCTTCGGTTCATATGAATTTGTGATACTTTTAGGAGCCATTGGAATCTCTTGATACTCTGCAACTTTGATGAACCCTTGCAATCTAAAAATCAAACAACCTGCATGTTATTGCTCGATTCACTGCAAATGAGTGGCCCGAGGCGGCTCGAACCTATGATAAGGAAGTATGAATCTGCAACTTTGTTTTACAATCCATATTCATTCCTGCATATCTTTACCACTGCTACTTGGTTCTAATTCCAGGTTTGTCCTGGACATATTTGAAGCTGAGAAGAGGCCTGTCACGAAAGAGGCCATATCAAAGATTCCGCTATTGGTACCGAAGGTGATGATTCTTTGTTTTCTCGGTTATTTATTTATCAGATTTTGCCTTGTGGCTGAAGCAAAACTGAACTACCAGGTTCCCCAACAGAGAAATGGAGAAGAATGTGGCAGTTTTGTTCTTTTTTTCATAAGCTTGTTCATGGAAAGTGCTCCTGAAAACTTCAGTATCACTGGTGAATATCCTTACTTTGTAAGTTGTATTTTCTTTTCTCGACCGTCGATGTTTCGGGTTTTTCTTTTATTGACCGTCGATGTTTCAGTTTTTTCTTCCTGGTAAATTTGTAATTTAAACTTAAACACACTTTTGGTGGTGGTAAACTGCAGCTGAAGGAAGATTGGTTTTCTCCACAAGACTTGGATTGCTTCAGCAAGAGGTTTAAACCCAGCACTCTGTGAAATCAACTTGTATTCAGTTGAGGCACATGTATATCTTAGACTCTTATATCACAATAACTCGATATATCCCAAAACATCATTCCAACAAAACTCAACTAAAAAAAATTAAATTTTTTGACTCGACCTAATTCGAATAGTAATTTCAATTCAAATCAACTTGAAATATTTTTCGAGTAGAGATATATAATAGAATTCGAATAAATCTAAATTATTAATAATTAGTTGATTTGTTTTCAAGTTTGAGTCGAGTCTCTCAACCCTGTATGATATACTTATATTACATTTTAAAAAGGCCAAAAGGCATCAGGGGTTTCTATACTTTTGAAAAAACCAATTTGGTCCTCGCAGTAATTTTTTTCTCTCAATGTGGCCTTTCAACTCATAAAATAAACCCACTGTGATCATCCAACTTAGAAAATAAACCCAATGTGACCCTTTACCCAATGTTTTTTCGTCGTTAACCCTTACAGTGATGATGTGACAGTTCACAGTGCTAACATGGCAGCCCATAATGATAGATTAACGTGATAGATGACATGATAGATTAACTAAATTGGTAACTCAAACATGGCAGATGTCGATGCACCCGAGGATGCGGATTGGATCGATCGATACATCGGCATGGTGGAGTTCGCAGGCATTGTCGTATGGATTCTTCAGCAGAATGAGTATCGAATTGGAAACTGCTTGATGATTATCTTTTTTTGGTAGAAAATGCATGGTATTTTAGTAACGACGCATGTTCAATGATCTAGCTGAACCGTTCGACGAAAAGTTCATTTATTTATTAAACGAGCGAACATAAATAAAAAATTTTATTTGTATAATTAAATGAATGAATATGAACAAATGACTTATTTGTTCATTTATGTGCTCGTTTATGTTCGTTTATTTATGTTCATTTACGTTCAGTAATTCATTCGTTTATGTTCAGTAACTCATTCGTTTATGTTAGTTCGTTTAATTCTATTTATATTTATGTTTGCTTATTTATATTCTTTTTAGAATTCTTACTTGATCTAAAAGAAAATTACATTTTATGTTCGTTCGTTTATGTTAGTTTGTGTTAGTTTATCATTTTAATGAATGAACATGAATGAATACAAATAAGTTACATTCCTTAACGAACGAACAAGAACAAAAAATTATGTTTGTGACACCCTAACTATTCATATGTTGCAAACTCATATTTTTCCGTTAAAATTGACAGTATTATGAGTTGAACGTTAACCTGCTAAATGTGATATGATAAAATATGATCCTAGAATCTTAAACGACTATCATATTTCAGTCATTATGTTAACGTCCAACTTAGACAATGACCGATTTTTTAAATAGAAAAAGACGGGTCTGAAACATAATAAATAGTGGGATGACCATTTTATAACTTTTAATAGCCAAGGGACTTTATAAAGCGTCATTTTATAGTTAAAGGATCATTTTGTAAATTTTAACAGTCAAGGGACTTAATAAAATAGTATAATGTAGTCAATGGACTATTTGTATATTTTACCTAATAGTCGAGGGACTATATAATGATGTTTTATTAAGTCTCTCGACTATTAAAAGTTATAAAATGGTCACCTGACTATTCATATGTTGTAAACTCGTCATTTTCCATTAAAAATTGGCAATATTATGAGCTAAACGTTAACCTGATAAATGTGATATGATAAAATTTGATCCTAGAGTCTTAAACGACTATCATATTTCAGTCATTATGTTAACGTCCAACTTAGACAACGACCGATTTTTTTAATAGAAAAAGACGGGTCTGAAACATAACGAATAGTGGGATGATCATTTTTAACTTTTAATAGCCAAGGGACTTTATAAAGTGTCATTCTATATTTAAAGGAGCATTTTGTAATTTTTAACAGTCAAGGGACTTAATAAAGTAGTATCATATAGTCAAGGGACTATTTGTATATTTTACCTAATAGTCGAGGGACTATAATGATGTTTTATTAAGTCCATCGACTATTAAAAGTTACAAAATGGTCACCTGACTATTCATATGTTGCAAACTCGTCATTTTCCGTTAAAAATTGGCAGTATTTTGAGCTAAACGTTAACCTGCAAAATGTGATATGATAAAATCTGATCCTAAAGTCTTAAACGACTATCATATTTCAGTCATTATGTTAACGTCCAACTTAGACAACGACCAATTTTTTTAATAGAAAATGACGGGTCTGAAACATAATGAATAGTGGGATGACCATTTTATAACTTTTAATAGTCAATAGACTTTATAAAGTGTCATTCTATAGTTAAATGATCATTTTGTAATTTTTAACAGTCGAGAGACTTAATAAAATAGTATCATATGGTCAAGGGACTATTTATATATTTTACCTAATAGTCGAGGGACTATAGAATGATGTTTTATTAAGTCCCCCGACTATTAAAAGTTACAAAATGGTCACATGATTATTCATTTTATAACTTTAAATAGCTAATGGACTTTATAAAGCATCATTCTATAGTTAAAGGATCATTTTGTAATTTTTAATATTTGAGAGACTTAATAAAATAGTATCATTTAGTCAATGGACTATTTGTATATTTTACCTAATAGTCGAGAGACTATTTATGTATTTTTAAGATTCCTAGTTGTCCAAGTTTAAAATCTAGCCTTTACTTCATCCAACAAAGGCCCGCCGTCAGCAACCGTGAGCTTACAGGTAACTAATGGGACCCCTAGATCCTAACAGGTAGCTTTTCGTAGGTTTTCAAAAATTATTAATAATGAAACAAATATGGTATTTTTAAAAGTTCGTTACAAAAATGATTTAACTATCGATATTTGATTTATTGATCGATTAATCTAAATCGAATATTATATCATTACAAGGGATCATCCTCCTAACTCACTTTCTTCTATTCACGATATCAAAATTCAAAATTTTGACTTTACTTAAAAAAACCTAATATTTAATCCCCCTAAACTAATAGATTGTTGATATACTTTTGTTGATTTTAACGACATTAAATTAAATTTTAAATTCAATTTGATAATTAAGAATAAAAATTTTAATATTAAAAAATAAGAAATTGAATATTCGAGGATCGGACGAGCTTAGGGTGTTGTTGTTTTTATTAGCTTAGGGTGTATATAAGGTAATATCTCGTAAATGATTCTCAATCATTTGACATTGAATGTTCATATTCTTGTATAAGTGGTGCTCAAACTCGGAACCTCAATGAATAACAATAATTCCTTCACTACTGAAGTAGCTCGATTCATGTAATTTTTAAAAATTATAAAATGAGTATTACGACATTACTTTCGTTAACCGTGAAGGTGTGCCATATATATTCAATAAGTGATATCTTATTTGATTTATTAATTGTAAATAAAATCCTATTTAAATATTTCTAAATATTTTAAAGCAATATTTTAAAAAATTATAATTTATTTTAAAATTATATATTTTATATATTATTAAGAAGAATTCAACCATAAAACAAATTACAAGGAGAGTTTGCAAAAAAATGAAAGTTTAAATTGAAATCAATAAGTATCATAACATTATAAATAATTACAGTTAAATTTAAAAAGATACTCGAATTAATATATTTTATTCGTCTCGATTCAAATTTTATAAACTAAACTCGACTCGAAAAAAAAATTAAAATGAAACTTTAAGATAAAATAGTGCACATCGACTCGACTAACTTAAATTTTTAAATTCAATTTTACTCTACTAGATTGAATTACTCATCCCTAAATCAAACTAAAACTCTTCATTCATTTCTTTTTCAATGAACATGAACTGCAAAGGTGTTTAAATGAACATAGAGTATATTCTAAACCAAAAAGGTCACTGTTAAAAAGGTAACTTACTCAAAAGTTACATAATTTTTTTCTTTTTTTTAATTAATCACTGGTATTCGATCTATTAACCAACTAATTCAGATAGGAGTACTACAGAGGCAAGGGCGACCCTCCCAACCCAGTTTGCTCCATTCGCAAACGTCAGGATTCGAACCTCTGACCTTGCTTAGGGACCTAGTGCCTCATCCCACTAGATCAACTGGTTGTTGGTATCTATCCCCTCTTTTTTATATATAAAAGTTAAAATGATAAATTCAGAAAAATATCAAAACCTTGTAAAGGGGGATTTGCTCCAACTTTGGCCAATAAATAAATTACAACTATATATTGAATATTCCATTTCTCAAATTCAATAATATACAGTAGTGGTCCACTTTGAAATTCGAATTTCTTTACGTTGGTTGTTCATTTTACTGAAGGTGTCTACCTTGAAATTTTAGTTGTGTTCACTCCATACGTAAATTAGTTGCTATTAATACATATGTGTCCATTCTAAAAAATATATTTATGGATCCGTCACCGATAATATATATATATATATGTAAAAAGATAGAATAATATCAATGCATGCAACTTGTTCACTAAATAGAAAACTTTGGCACATGGGTAGAATCTTTAAATTATCTTCACCAAGTACTAAACCCAACATTCTTTTTGGTAAAAATAATAATTTAGAAAACAATGCATGTCCTCTTAACTTTTAACTTTTCTTTTTATCATTTTTTTATTAAAATATTTTTAAAACATCTTTGAAGTATTTTGTTTTATTTTATTTTAAAGTAAATGTTTAATTTTACGTTGTATTATCATAAAAAGGTATAAAACTAAAATAGTTCCTCAACGTTATGTCTCCCATGGATCTTTCAGAAGTCAATCGGATCTTTTAAGTGCCTTCAAGAAGTCATTGTATCTTCCGGACATCTTTTGTTGGGAATTATAGCATTTACACTAGAGGAAAATTAAATTTTCCAACATTTTATATAAGAAAATCATTTTTCTCATAACATTATTTAACCCATTGTGTTGTTAACACTTAGGTACAATTTAAATTCATTTTACTTTTATAATTATATTTTTATTATCACAATCTATTTTATTTTTATGAATACAACAACAACAAACCCTATTACCATATGCAATGGGATAAGGAGGAGGTAGGGTAGTAGGCTACCCCCAACGCCAGGTTGAGTGCAGCTTCCGTGGATGACCATCCAGTTCAGTTGGTAGAGTACAAGGTTCTTAACCTTGAGGTCATGGGATCGAGTCCCATTGAGGGCATTTCATAATTCGGAGGTCTCCTACGGAAGTTGCTCTCAACCTAGTGTTAGAGGCAGTCTACTATCTTACCTCTCCCTACCCCATTACATATGGGAACAAGGGACAACCATTTATGAGTAATTTAATTAATTTGAATTCAATACAAATAATAAATATATTCAAATATATAAATAAAAATTAAATTTTTTTAATCCAATAATTATAAATTTATAATAACTTTTTTGTTATTTTTGCAACATAATTTTTTATTTAAAATGGAAAAGAAAATCCAAAGAGAAAAACCCAAAGGGAATAGCAATGAATACCAAACATGGAAGAAGAAAAGAGAAGAAAGCATCCAGCCCACATGATGGAGATTGGAGAGAGAAGGGCCCACAAGATTAAGGGTCCAAGTGGAGGCGTCAGTATCGCCAATCATGCTCCGCCTCTCCACTGTGTCCATACCACGTGCACCTCCCTCCCCCTCTCTCTTTGTACCATGCAAGGCCCGACATCCTCCTGCCCTACCACAAAAAAGCATTAATATGATTCAAATAATATTAAAATAATTATAATAAAAAAATATTAATTTTCTTTAAAATAAACAATATAAATATTCTTTTTTATAATCAAAATTATTATTAATTATATAATTTTTTTAATTGAAGAGGTATCATTTTAGGTTAAAACCTACTGTAATATAATATTTTCAGTTGTAATCGAAATTATTATTAATTATATAGTTTTTTACAGTAAATATGATAATATTTTAAATTAAAACTCACCGTAAATTAACTTTAGTTTCCCGTCGCACAACATAATTATTGCATTGATAATAGATAGTGTGAATTTAAATATTTACGAATAAATTATTTAATTTAAATTCGAGTTTTAAAAAAATATTATTTTTAATAGTTTAGGATGGTAGTATCTGTTTAAAATCTTTTCAACATATTAACAATGCATAAAAATCTTACGGATGTTGTTGCTCGAATCCATGGCCTATATTGTTTATATTAATTTAAATATTAAGAGAAAAATTTATTGACATCATAGATAATTTAATATTAATATTTTTATTATAATTTTTCTGTTTAATTGTTTAATTTAAAATTTTTATGTTATAAAATATAATTATGGGAACGATCTTGATAACTTAATTGATACTTTATAGAAACCATCAAATGTGATTGTTTTTTTTATTTAAATTTTAAATAGTTTAGAATTTGCACTAAAATTTTTAAAAAATAAAAGCTTAAATTTCATTATTTAAAAAAATAAAAAGTTAAACTTATATAACTAATTTTAATATTAAACAAATTTGAATAACTCGAATTTTTTTCACTCGACTCGACTCAACTCGATCGAATGCTCACCCCTAAATATCGCTTAAAAATGTCTCGAGTTTGAGTCCTTATGAATTCAAAAGATCTCTGCTAAGAGGTTCATCCATTAAGATTATATATGTGACTCGAATCAGTCTAAATTAATCAAAGAAAATATTAAGACAGAACTTATATAGTAAAATGAACATTATTCATTAATCTATTATATATTTTTTACTTGAAGTTAGTTTTCAATCTAACTTGAAGGTTATTTTTCTATTTTTAAAAATACATAAAAGAAATTAACTTACGACGAATTTTAATTAAAATATTATTATATTCAACTTAAAAATTTATATAATTAATAATAATTTCAGTAATAAGTGTGAATATTATATTAAATAATCTAAAATGTTAATTTTTTTAAATCTTTTTATTAATTTTCAGATAATTATATTATGATAATATCACAATGACGTCGTCCTTGTAGTCTCTGTGGATTTAACGATGTTAGTGGTAGGTATTAAACTGGTTGATGAATGAAAATTCATGTACCAAGTTGGAAGAAAAATATAATTAGATATCAAAATATAAAATACTGATAAGTACTGGGACCGGATATGTATTTAAGCCATGTATAAAGCACAAAAAGTATACTCATCATAACCTAATATTAACGTGAGCCGTTATTTCGTACGCCTTGTTTCCTTCTATTACGGGCCTAACAATGATTTCACAATAATGCCCTTTACTTTCCATTTCATATTCAATTTATATAAAGCTATTTTTTGGCCTATAATTTAATTTCATAAGTAAATTCAATATCAATTTAGTTAAAAAAATTATAATACTTCTAATTTAAAATATAATATTAATTTTATATACTAATTATTTTAAAATAAAAATAATTAAAAACTATTATTTAAGAATTAAACAAACAATTAATTCATATATATATATATATATGAATTAACGTCCACTTACACGATGTATATTTTTTAGTTTTATATAGATTTAGAATCATTAGATGAGTGTAAATAGACGACTGAGATTAACTTCTTATTTTTTTAGTGAATGTCTTCTTATTCTTATTGTTAATCTCAATAGTTTATTTTTACTCATCCAACAATTATATATTTGTGTAAAATTAATTTTTTTATATTTTGTAATTGGATCTCATGAATATATATATATATGTATGTATGCATGCATGAGATCCGATTACAAAATGTAATTTTTTTTAGTTTTATATAGATTTAGGATCGTTGGATGAGTGAACATAGATGGCATAGATTGACTCGTTTTTTTCCTAGTGAATATCTTCACATATCCTACTGTTAATCTAGATCATTTATTTTCACTCATCCAACGATCCTAAATATGTGTAAAACTAAAAGAGTTTTATATTGTGTAATTGGATACTGCCCCTATATATATATATATGGATTAAGATCTAATTGCAACGAGTGTAAAATTAAAAAAAATTAAATACTTTTAGGATGGTTGGATGAGTAGAAATAAATGACTAAGAATCTGATTATTTTTGGCAAATAAGTATCTAAAGTGTACTCACTTTTTCATTTAAGTACCTAAAATATTTTTTGGTCAAAATAAGTATCTAAAGTTATTATTTATCAAAATAGGTACATAAAGTATTTTATGTCAAGATAGGTACCTAAACTATTCAAAGTTTTTCATTTAAGTTCTAAAAAAGATAACATGTGATATTAATTAAAGAATATTTTAGGTACTTAGATAAAAAAAATTGAATACTTTAAGTACTTATTTTGACCAAAAATATAACTTTAGGTAAAAGGATACTATACTTTAAGTACTTATATGTTATATAATCTCTTTTTAGTAATTATCTTCTCATTTTCTGATGTTGCTCTCGATCGTATCCAAAATACAAGGGTGGATGGGTCATTTCCAGCATTAAAGTTGGGTAGAAGCCATTTTGCATGGTAAGGAAGGGTAAAAAGGTCAAATCAATAGTGGCGGCAACCTGTTTATATATGGCAGCGAAATTGCTTTCACCCTCCATTATTATTATCTCTCTGAGCTATGGAAGACGAAGATCAAAAGGAACTGCAACTTCTCCCTACTCCACTCCCCATTTCCTCGTTGACCCAGATTTCCTCTCGCTCCTCCGATTCTTCTTCCCTAAGGTACCGATCCACGGTGGCGGCTGCGACGGCCGCCGTGGATCAATACGAAGGTCCTTCACTCGACTTGCAACTATCCATCAGCCTGAGGCCAATCCAACAGCCGTCGAATTGCGTCATAAAAGGCCCCATATGCGACGCCACGGGCGGCGTGGAGGCGTTGAAATGGCAAGCGGCGGAGCAAATCCGGCTGGCGGCCATCGAGAAAGCTTACGCGGAGCGAGTGAGGGAGCTGACGAAGAGGGAGATGGAGATGGCTCAGTCCGAGTTCGCTCGGGCGAGGCACATGTGGCAGAGAGCAAGAGAAGAAGTGGAGAAAGCCGAGAGAATGAAAGAGAGGGCGATGAGGCAGATTGATTCTACGTGCATGGAGATCACTTGCCAGTCTTGCAGGCAAAGGTTTACGCCATGAAAATCACTATTAAATTTCAATGTTTTTCATTTATATATAAAAAATTTAAAAAACCCTTCTTGTTTTATTCAATGATAGCTGAGTTCTTTTATTATATATCCCATTCTCCATGGCTGAGTTGTTTTTTCAAGGGTTTGAAACCTTGGATTTAAGCAAACAAAACAACACAATTAATAAAAACCTATATATATATTATATATATATATGTATGTATTTGAGATTCCAGCAATGGGTTTTGCTTTTACTCTAATCATGAGATCATACATGCATCCATACATACACATACCATCTTAAAGATCATATGCATCTTTTGCTTTACTGTCATGATGCCTGCATGTGAAGAAGAAATCAAAGTGTAAACAGATGATTTGTTGATTATATATAGCTTTTGAATTTGAGATGCCAGCAAAGGGTTTTGCTTGCATTTCAATGATCATATATATATTGAAGTTTATGAATATTGATTATGCAGAACAAATCAAAGTTTTAACAGATAACTTTGGAAACTGAGATTCTAGCAATGGGTTTCGCTTGCAATCCAATTGTGAGATCTCTGTGTGTATATATATATATCGGTTAGGATTCACTTACACCTACAATTAAAAATTTTAATTCTTTTTAAGATCGTTGGTGGGGAGAAATCAAAAGTTGATATTAAATTATTGTTAATTCTAGCCCCTCTCTCTCTCTCTATATCATATTAAGATCCAAAAGTCCCTTACTTTCTTTTAATGTTTTACTATCATGATGTCTACTAAGGATTTAAATAGTGGTCCGTTATCGGAATAGTAGTAGTGGTGTCATCTGAAATCGTTATTGTATGATCGCGATACTTATAATGATCACAATAACAAACGTTATATCTGCAATTGCAATAAACACAACCGAAAACACAATTTAGAATCTCTGAATTGCATGCATAGAAGGCAAGGAATCAATCAACTGTAGACACTGCTGCATTATTGTCCTAATATTTTCGTTTGGTGATACATTATTGTCCTAATTGCCAACATGCTTTTTAGCACAATTTCACACAAATGTCAGATACATATATATATATATATATATGAATATGCATTTTTTTGAACTTTTGAAAATGCAAAAAGTTACTTCTGATATCAGGAGCAGATAAGCAGGCATATCTTATTAGCTATAATTTGCAAGATTGGATCATGTGTTTCACTGATGCTATTCCCACTATCAAAGTATAAGGCTGAAACTTATAAAAAAATATATATGTATTTTATATGGAGACCAGAGTCAAACTTCTTTTTAGGGTTAGATTTGATAATCTCGACATTTCATTTCTCTTAAAATAATCATATTTGTCACTTATTCAACACATATTTCGATATAACCAAGATATAATCCTTTGAATATATAACATAATCAATATATATATGATGATAACATATCAAAAAAATTCGTATCCGACACATATTCAACCAACATATATGATCATCTATGACAAAAATGTAAGATTAGTCGCTATTCAAGTATCATTTACATATTCGATATCCAACACTCACTACTCGAGTATCATATACGATCATCGATGATAAATATTTATATTCGACGCCTATAGATGCCACGTACATGATCATTCATAATATATATATATATATGTATATAACTGCTGGAACTCAGTACTGAAAACTTGGCATTGATGAGTCAAACCTGCAATCAAAGAGTCAAGTTTCAGAACCCTGATTTTGATAGAAAGGCAAATGAATGAGAACAAAAAGTTCAAGTAAATTCATCAGCAACAAGACAGAACAGTCTGTATGCCACTTGTTTTCAACTTCCTTTTAACTTTCTTTGCCCATCCAAAAAAAAAAAAAAAACCAAACACCCACCACTCATGTCTGGGATCCCAATGCAAAATAACCGGTCACTATTTGGTTAAATTATGATTTCGGCCCCTTTACTCTTTAAAAAAGAATCCTTGTTTAACAATAGAAGGACCAAAATCACAAATTGATTTGTTTTGATGCGCTGAAAAGCATCATTCAAGTCAAGAGGAGTTCAACAGTGAAGCTTTCATTCAAGATATGTTTGTGACAATGGACTTGTAGCTTTTTTTTTGTCAGCAACCTCCAAACATTACTCTCATGGAACAAGATTATACGTAATGAAGACAAGTATATATATAGTACGCATAGATTTAAGATCGTTAGATGGATATAAATGGATGTATGAGCTTAACTCATTGTCTTTTATCAACGAATATCTTCTCGTTTACTATTGTTAATCTCAACCATCTATTTTCACTCATACAACGTTCCTAAACCTATGTAAAATTAAAAGAATTTTGCATGATTCTATCCCAGATATATACATATATCCAATAATTTAAGGCATTGATTTGATGAGTTTCAAGACTATCAACAGTGTTGCAGACATAACCTAGTGGGGGAAAAGGATTATGGAGTTTCAAAATTAGGCCCTCATGAAAAGCACATCTTTATTTTCCCTTCAGAGCGATGGAAAATCGTATATAAATGAAGAAAGGAAAGTACCCTTTATGATTAACTTAATTATTAGTTTTGAGCCTTCTTTTGGTTGCAAGAATCTTCCAATAGATTTAACCTAATTCATCATCTAAAGGCAAATTAGCTTTTGTTCCCAAATAACAAGTGATTTTTCGGTTATTCGAGCTATGTTGTTTCGAATCTTCATTTCTTTTGAAAATATGGCTAAATGGATGTCCCTTGTTCCCATATGTAATGGGGTAAGAGGGAGGTAAGATAGTAGACTGCCCCCAACATTAGGTTAAGAGCAGCTTCCATAGGAGACCTCCAAATTATGAAATACCCTTCATGGGACTCGATCCCACGACCTCAAGGATAAGAACCTTGTGCTCTACCAACTGAGCTGGATGGTCATTTCTTTTGAATATATACTTATTCGAAATTCGAGAAATGTTCGGACATGAATATAAAAATAAAATCTTTTGTGTGGTTTCCATATACATCAAATCTTAAAAAAAATTGAAACTCATATCCAAGTTTGAGAAGCATAGGTTCAAAGGCTTGAAAGATTTCAAAACCCTAGGTATATCTAGACATTGTTATAGGGATATGATCCTTCCAAGAATTTCCAAATATTTGAAATATTTCCAATTTATATTCGAATTCGAGTAATATAGATGTAAAGAGCGAAAGATTTCAAAAACCTTCGACTTTTCGATTGTTACGAAGTATCTTCAAATTAAAATCCGAGACACATTCGTGTATGGATATAGGGACTAGGGGTGTAAATGAGCCGAGTCGAGCTTGAGTATTGCTGAGCTCGACTCGACTCGACTCGAAAACTCTGAAATGGAGCTCGACTCGACTTGAAAACTCGCGAGCTTAAAATTTTCAAACTCGGCTCGAACTCGAAATCCTGAACTGAAGCTCGTGAGCAGCTTGAAAATGCTCGAAATGAATTTTTTTTCTTAAACTTAACTCGATTGAAGCCTCAAACTCGAACATGAACCTTAAATACAATAAAAATTTACTGTATTTAAAAAAAATCAATACATAAATATTAATATTATTAATAATTTATTTTTTAAAATAAAATCTTAATATATTATATTTTCGAGCTACTCACGAGCTTTTCGAGTCGAATATCGAGTAGCTCATTTCGGCTCGTTAAGAACTCGAGTCGAGTCCATTCGATCCGAGTATTTATCGAGCTTTGATAGAGTCGATCTTGAGTAACTCACGATCTGTCTCATCTCATTTACAGTCCTAATAGGGACATGATCTTTCAAAGGTTATACAATCAAGTAACCTTCTCTAAATCTCACATTCTTAGGAACCTCTTGCCTGTATGTTCACCTATGATTCTAGGGTTGTAAATGAGTCGAGTTGAGCTCGAGTATTACTGAACTCAACCCAACTCAAAAAATGTAAAACTGAGCTCGACTAAAATTGAGTTTTTTTGAGTCGAGTTGTAATTAATTTATGGTTTTTCTTATTTTTGTTGTGCCTTATCACCAAAAGAACAATCATGTTGATGGGAGACCGAGGGCTGACATATGACCACTAGCAATACAGGTCCATTTGTCTTGTATTGCTTATTTGGTTACAATCATAGAATTGCAAACCCATCAGTTTCTTCCATAAAGCCGAAGTGCAGGATAAAGCTGTAGGGACAACCCTAGCCAAAACAATCAAACTTGCCATCATGACACAACCTTAACATTTGTCTGTTCACATTTGTCCACTTATTACCAGCTGCTGATACTGTTTTATGTTCCTTTGATCATATGATCAGCTGGCTTGAATTCCTAGCTAGCTAATCTCTTCCCTCAATCCCCATCACTTCCATGCTAATATGAATTATGAACAAAGGATTATGGTATCAGATTTTTGAGTTGGTAGAGTTTGTGATTCGAATTCTGTGTCGAATGCCTGTGATTTTTTTCTTTCACGATTTTTCACGTAAGTTTTGGTATTCTTGTTTTGATATCGTTTGTTTTAATCGTCGTTGTCTCCCTGATTGTGATAACATCAGTCAATATTTCTAACGATTTTCTAGACCATGCGATATATATATGTTTCGAATATGTATCGAATACATGTGTGAAACATCGATATTCGAGTACTTGTCGAAGATGGTGGGAAGAAATAAATCATAGTCAAGAACATGTGGAAACGTGAATCCTTGCCATAAAATTATGGGAGGGGAAGAAAAGAAGAAAAGTAGGGTTGAATTATAAAAGCAAAAAGTTTTAGGGACTACAATGACATCAAGCACACAATAATGGAGCTTGCATTGCATGGGAGACTAAAACTAATCATAACAAAGAAAATATTCCCATGTCCCCCAACCCATCTTCTTCTAATTATTATGACTTTAAGATAAAAAAAATGGCCAAGAATATTATCATTGAACAAAATGGCATGGAGGACCAAATTGATAAATAAAATTAATTGATTGAGTTCCTTGATAGATTCGATTCCTTAGCCTTTTGTTACATACATAAATTTTCTCTGTTATACTTTTAAGTGTCTACCATTAAAAAACATCGTTAAGTGATACATGTCACATTTATATTTTTTAATTTTTTAAAAACAATTTTTTTAAAAAAATATGAAGGTGACACGTGTAACTTAATGATTCTTTTTAACGGTAGGCACCTAAAAGTACAACGGATGAAACATTAAACACCTATTTTCAATGAAAAATTCTTTAGGCGCCAAAAATTTATTTTAAATATAGTTTAGGTACTTGTTTTTATATTAAGCCTTGATTTTTTTTTGCTTAGTGACCAAAATAGAAACCCGTTTGCAGTTCAATGACGAATAAGATAGTTTAACCAAAACAAATGCGGTACTCTTTTGTTTTCGGCTTACCCAAAACCGCGGCAACGCTTTAGAGTCGGGGCTTCAGGTTTTAGGACCAATTGTTTTCTCCGTACAACAATGGTGGATCGTTCAGAGAAACCGAACCCTAACCCTAAATCGACATTCACGAACCAAAATCACCGCGAAACAAAGAAAGAGGAGGGGAAGAAGGTGAAAAAGAAGAGTGATTTCGAGTTCTGCAAGGTCTGTAAGCTGAATCACAACCAAGGGGCACGTCATAAGTATTTCCCTAACCACAAATCCGCTCTCTCCGCTTTCCTCTATCGATTCGAAAATAAGATAAACGACGTTCGTTTCTTCTTGAAAAACCCTACCGTTCTTCGACCCGAACACGCCGATCGCAATCGATTTTGGTGCGTCTTCTGCGATACTGACGTTGACGAGCACAATAGCTCTTTCGCTTGGTAAGGGTTTTAAACTTTTACATTCTTGTAGATTTTAAAAAAATAGAAGTGTTTTTGAAGCTCGGCCAAACTTAGTTTAAGTAATTTGGAATTTACAGCCATTTATGATCAAGTTACTTAGAGGGGATAAGGAAAAATGGAAATTAGAAGTTTGGATTTGATGAGTGAAATATGTCTTCAAACATACCGCTAGTAAAAGTTAAAAATCAAATTTAAGAATTTGAGTTCAATTGTTGTTTAAATGCAATACTATCAATAATTAGTTTAGGATTTTAAATTGTAAAAGTTCGAGGTAATATTTTTTGAAGTATATGACTAAACACTAAATCTCTATCTTCCATTAAGTTCAGGGCCTGGCAACATATTTTCACCAAATTTAGGGGATTCGACAAAGATCAATTTGCCTTTCCTTTGGTATTTCAGTGATTTAACTGTGATGGCCTTGTTTGAAAGCTAATCTTAAGTGTTTTTGGTTCTTTGAACAGTGAAAATGCTATTAATCACATGGCAGACGCTCATCACCTGAAGAATTTGAAGCATTTTCTCTGGCTGTATGGTGGAAAGATGGAACAATTGGACAAATATAGGATACTGGAAACTGATCTAACTAAAGTAAGACGGTTAAATTGTTCTAAAAAAAGCTTGGAAGGTTATTTATGTGACGGGATTTCATTTTTTGTCATTGTAGTGGGAAAAGAAGTGCGAGTCTTTGAAGGATGAAGCAACGGCTGCTCCGATTGAAGGGTCTTGTGGAGTTGTATACGGAGCTTCAAATGATATCCACAATAATGTGAACTTTAAAAAAACTAATAATTGTGGACAAAATACTCTTAACAGTCTTAAACCAAGTTATTCAAATGCTGTTTTGCCTTTACTATACAATACAAATGAGTATCAGATATCTAATTCAAGTTTCCCTGAAGTTGCAAACTTTGGGTCAAGTTTTAATGAGACTAACTTTTCTTTGAACGCGGGTGGGCATTCCAATGCGAGTTTGTTGATCTCGGATGATTTGACTGGTATGGATATATGGTTATTTGATATTTTCCTTATTAAATCTAGTTCTAGTTATTTCCCTGATATTTCAGTGAAACTTCCTTGTATGAAAATTAGAATAAACTGTCTTATTAGTTGGTTCTCTGTGCTTTATGATGATTTTCCAGCTAATAACAGTAGCCAACAAAATCTTCTTTACAACAGTGGAACATGCTCGGGGAATGCTTACGTGAGCAATGTTGGGGTAAGTTTATTATCCCATGCTCTTTCCTTATGCAACTAATCATATTTTGTTTCCACGAAATTGTTTTATGACAGATCTATGCTGAAATTTGAAATAATCACATAACAACATTTATGCTGATTATAAATCTTCTTTTTGAAGCTGTCCCTTAAAATCTTTATGCTTATTATAAATCTTTTTTCTTGTGTTATTTGATGGTAGTTTTATAGGAAAGTAAGAAATCAAAGGGTTTTCTTAACCGCTTTGTCCTTTCTAACAAAAACATTTACTCAGTCAATTAAGCTTGTGTCTTTTTTATCTTCAAGATTATGCTATTTCATGTCTGCTCCATATTTATTTACAAAAGAACACTTGCCTTAATTTGTAAAATCATGTTTATTCTAGTATTTTACAATATCTGTTCATTATTTTCTTTGAATGCATCCTTCTCCAAGCCAGGTCTTTACTATTTAAAATTTTGTGGGACTATTTAAAATTTCATCTATGGGGGGTCCTTCTAGTTTGTTTAGTGGGATTTCACCAATTAGTTTCTTCGTATATGATATTTTAGTTATATTCTTCACAAATATATATTCTCATACAGGTCTGCCAAGTGTATCAAAGGGCAGGTATGGTGAATGAAGAAAGGAGTTCCCAGGGTAATGCTTTAGTTGCATTTTGGTTTCATATGTTTCCATTCCATGTCACTTTGAAACTAAAATGTAAATAATGCGTATGCTAAAAATTATACTATGGTTTTCTGGTTGCTAAGTGGAGAGATGCTCCAAGGAAAAATATTTTTTTTCCCTTTGTCTTATGATGTTTTTTCTTCAGGTTCGCAGATCTTAACTCAAGTCTCTTCCATTTCAACAATAGATGCCGCAGGAAATGTGCATTCTGGAGCACCCCCGCCCTGGTTTGAGGCAACTGATCAAACTTTGTTAAACAATCAAGCAAAACCAGCTTTAAGTAGCTTTATGTCATCAAACAAGTCATGGAAATCCCGTAAGTTGAATCCAAAGAGGGTTGGGGCTGCTTGGGCTGAGAAGCGAAAGATGGAGCTGGAGAAAGAGAAGCGAGGGGAGATTGTGGAGAGTGATTGTGATGCTAACTGGCTTCCTAATTTCGGTAGGGTTTGGCAGTCAGGTAGCAGGAAGGAATCTAGAAAAAGAATTTGAGATTGAAAAACAGAAGTTCGTCAAGGTTGAAAGCCACCCTGAGATGCCACTTAAGATACAGCCTTATGTCAGTAAACGGATGGTAAGCACACATCATCAGATGCATGCCTTTCTAGGAGTTAGTGTCTCATAGATATAACTGCAACTAAGAACATTTTCTCTATTCCATGCTCACTTAGGCCATCAGATTGAAAGATTTTCGTATGGGTAAAATAACGTTTCACTACGTATTATAGTGCAGAACTTATAATGGCAATACTAAAGTCAGCCAAACTAGTCTTTGAGTTACCTTGTTAACAACAAAAGGGTCTATTCGTAGAATGTCTTTAGTTTGATTAGAGATGCAAGCATTCAACTGCATCTTGAGGATCGACTTTAGTTTTGAGTATTTGCTAGGAAGAAGATTTCTTTTTCTTGAGAGGATAACAGATGTAACTAACTAAGCTTGCTATCGACGGCTTTAACTTATTATAACTTCATTCCGCATTATGTTGGTTATACATTTGCCCAATTTACCTTTTCCCCCTTTTTGGCAGCGAAAAGATTCTGGTGAACAATGACCAGTGATCATGCAAGGAAAGACAACTCATGTGAAACTGGCAGTCAAATAATCTAGTAGTATTCTTTTGTTTTCCCCTCTATGGTGAATGTATTTTTTCACAATTGAGAGACTTTTAGGAAAGAGAGGAGTAGGTCATGGACTCGTGGCGATTTCACCCTGGGATATTTAGCAACTGTGGAGATTCCCTAAATGTATTCTTTTGTCCATCCTTGAAAGTTGTATGTATGCTCGGTCCTTTGGTACCCAGATTGTAAATATAATTGCCAAACCTTACTAACGATATATTTGTTTTCTTTATTTTCTAATAACTCTACCTTTATGACATATTTTTCTATATCTTTCGGCATGTTTTCGGCCTTCTTTATTAGTCGTTTGACCGCTCTTGTTGTTTAAGTTTCTCAGGTTAGATTTGATGTCGTCTCAATTGATTTGGATACACGGTTTATGTCTAGAGATAATTCTCATTACGCTTGACTTTGATTTATGATTGTCGGTGGTGGTTTGATAATTTGATCTCCTGTTATGATTCGTTCGTCAATGTACTCAGATCTATTTATATTTGTCTTTTGTTGAAGTTTGTTAAAACCCAATGGTAAACTAATAATGATTGTATTTTTTTATTAAGAGAAAGGGGGGAATGTAGTATAATGCTATGATGAATGGTTAAATATGCTTTCAAGCCCCTGAATTTGTATGACCTTCATATGTTTCACCATTTAATTACTCTATTGCCCCTCCTATGTTCTGATTGGTGGCAATTAGACCCTCAAATAACCTGATTAACCAGATTGGGAGATCTAATTATTAGTAAAGGTTTACAGTGAATAACTAGAAACTATTTAGAAACTAAGGGTATGGAAAATGAAAGGCAAAATCATAGTAATAAAAACAGCATTAGATTCAATTTCAGGGGACAGAATCAGCAAAGTTGCTAAACACATTTTGAAGGAAAATTGTGGTTTTAACAAAGGGAGGCAGCTCCTAGTTTAGTGCTGCAAACAATAAGCCCTTCCAAAGGGTGTATTTTACCCCAAAAAGAAAATTCAATATATAAATTAAAAAATATATATGAAGAAAGAATAATTGTTTTGATCTTTAAACATTCTTCAGGGTCACAGTTATGCCTGGCTTGAAATCAGTTTCTGAAGAGGACCCATTTTAGCATTGAAGTCAGTTCCATTGTCCATCTGCAGATTCCTGAATTCAATATATAACAGCTATGAACATTGTGAATTCATCTTTCGTTGTGTTCTTCGTTGTCGTTGTCATTGAACCGCAAGGGTGCTTTTCTATCAGAGAACAAAATTTGTAATTCCTTCTATTCATCAAAAAGAATTCCTAGGTTTCCCGTTTTCTTTGTTGTCGTCTACCGTAAACAAGCATCTGGGGTTTCTTATTTACATTCTCTTCTTCGATAACAGCTTGTCCGGCAGATTCTACCCTAATATTTGGTTTCCTTTCCTGAACTGTTTTGGTGATCACTTCCATTTCTTTCACCTGAGATTCAGTTAATACCTGAAGAAGGTCCAATGATGTAGCTGCAGGATCAAGCTCCAAGCAACCCTTAGGACCATTTAAACCTTCTTTACCTGCGAGCAAATAAGAATGGACCTGGTGAGAAAATCGAAACAAATCTTCTCTTGGAATCATCCGTGTTTAACTCTGTTCGGAATGCTTCCGAAACAGTCTTGAACCCAGGCACCTTAATGAGTGGAGCAACAGCAACGCCTGTCTTCTCATAGTAATCTTCGAGCACCTCAACCATGTCACATCTGTGTATCACTTCATCAGGTGTAAGCTCATTCCAATCAGTGGGCCAGTTCCTATGGAGAGCACAAACATCTCCCTTCCTCGGATATATTTGAATTGTTCCTCTCCGACCTTTCGACCACTTCACCTTGTGCGAGAATGAATTGAGAGACCAATTAACTTCATATTTGCCTACCCAGAAATCTCCACTAGTTTTGTAAAAGCCCGAATTGATCCAGTTAAGTGGAGCCAGTTCGGCATTGCTCATGTACATTTTGAAAGGTTTTAATGATATCACGCCAAGAATCATCGCATAATAACGTGGCATCCCATCATCATCATCGTAAGCAGCCCAAACTTGGTTCTCGCCGAATGACTTTTCAGTACGATCCCGGTCAAAATCATGAAAATCGGGATCTGGAACATTCACGGACATTGGATCAGGTTCCTTTGTAGCAGGATCAACATGAGAATCAACAATGTAAGAACTTTTGGGCTGAATGCTAGACTTGATATCAACATACTTCATGGTTTCATGTGCACCAGATTTCATACTTATAGCATCTTTTCCATTTCCTTCATCCTTATCATTGATCCCCTCACCAAAAGCCTTTGGTTTATTCGAAGCGGCTGATAGAGAAGCCAGTTTCCATGAATTTAGTTTCTTGTTGATGTCTTTCTTAGCCAATTCCATCAGAATATTCCGTATTTCCAGCTGTGAAGGCTGCTTTATGCTATTAGTTCTAGAGATTCCGGCAGTATTTTCGAAACCACTCTTTTGAAAACTAGAAACACTAACCCCTTCATTTCCCATGGACGAGTGGTTTCCCATCTTGATTTCATCTATCTGCCTCTTCTTAGGTCTTTGTTTCTTTGCCGCAAAAATAGAAACAGAAGCCGAGGACCCGGTACCTAAACCTGCGTTGGTTTTATGAGAAGGATGAAATATCTTGTGCAAGTTTTCTTCTCTCGTGATATCAGTCTGTAATTCGTTGTGTCTACTCTTTAATGTTTCACCGGCTGAACGAGTAACACCAGAAGCTTCAGCGGTGGAAGAAACCGGTGAAGACACATTTATGCTACTTCCTGGTCTAGGGAACACGCCTTTTTGAGAAATTTTTGTACATAAACCAGAAAATCTAGCCTGTCCGGCATTATGAACCTGGTGAAACTTTTGTTGCTGCATGAATTCGGAAAATGAAGTATACTTGCTACTGGCATTTATATTCGGGGCTGGTGTCTCAACAGCCAAAAAGGGTGTGCGACAATTGATGCAGGGAAGATTTAAGTTGACGTAAACCCGAGAGTATTCAAAATGCATCTTACAGGCATTGCAGGTCGTCCAAAAGGTATCATTTTTCACTGTGCGAGGAGCAGGCTTGGAATAAGTAGCACTGTTACGAACACTGGTGTTTGAAATATTCTTTTCGGAGAAATTATGGAAACCGTTACGGCTTGTAGTCGCCGATGAAGATGATTTCCCATGCGAAACATTAGTATAACTGCCCCTCAAGTTCTGTTTCTGGTCATAAGCAATTCTCTTCGCTCTATCAGACAACAGATTCCAAGCTTCAGATAGAATTTTGAAAGCCCCATCTGCACCTACAGATTTTTTTTTGTCGGGATGAAGAACAAGAGCCATCTTCTTGTAATGTTTCCGAATTGTATCCTCGTCAGCAAATGGTTGAACAGCAAGCACCCTGTACCAGTCGACTTCTCCATTGATCTTTTTATCCTCGGATATATACACATCGAGAGTTGCAAGCAACTGAGGAAGACCATCAAGCTCGGGATACAAGTTTTGAGCCTTCAAAGAAAATCTTTTGGCACCAACAGCATCCATCTCCGCAAGTTTTTTCTCAGCGAGCTCTTTAGCTCTAATGGCCTCGTCTTTGTTACAATCCATTTTAGTTATGCTGGTGACTCTCTGCTTGCTGTTTCTTTTCTCAGTTCATTATCTGATTTGTCACCGAATACGATATCAGAACAGATTCTAACATTAAAAGAAAAACTAAATCTAAGATTTTACATGCATCAGAAGACACCAAATGTTGTTTAACCCAATATAAGGAAACTTCTTCAGCAGAAAAGGAAAGTAATTACACAGTTTTGTTGATTTGCAAATTAACTGATAGGAATCTATTTACTAAAATCGTAAAAAATACGTAGGAAGGTAATTCGAACTTCCTACGTATTTGAAAAGTCGAACTCTTGAAAAGTCTATGAACTTGAGTACCGAACTCTTGAGATAACTAAAACAAATTTGAAAGCAACACACTGCATAACTGAAACAACTAATAATGCAGGGGACGGTCATTCACTGAAAACTAAAGGAACTAGAATACCAAAATTTTAACATTAGCAAAGTATATATGGAAACTCATACATTTTGGATATAAACATGCTTCACCGAACTTTTGAAACAAACAATATATTTGGAGAAACCTGCAGAAAGTGTCCTTATCCGACAATTCTAACTCAAAAAGACAGAAATCCGACTCTGATACCAATTGTTATGGACTAAGAGAAATGGAATAGATACGAGAGAAGAATTTAAAGAAGATAGATTTTAGAAGAGGATTTCATCATTCATTACATAAGGAAAAATTGTTCTCTCAACATGTATTATTTAGTTACAAGGAGAATCTAAAAATGCCAGTTGACATAACAAACTGCTAACAAAATTGTATGTCTTTTCCTTTCTTAAGCAGGTACTGGGCCATCTGGTTTTGGGCCACTCCAGCCTTGGATCCATTTGTCTGCTCCATCTCATCAGGTAAATTAATCAAATAACTCTCTCGTGCTTCAATTCCCAAATTACTGTCTCCAATCCCTAACCCTTGCTCGTTTATTCTCAATTCCTCTCTTCGCTCGTCCTTTCTTCGATTCTCCTCTCTTCGTCGTTCTTCTTCCTCTCCGACCATAACAAGGCCATTCATTTTACATCATGACGTACTCTAGTACCGAATTTTCAACATGAGCATAATGGATTTCGAAACACATTGCAGAGACGTCGTCACAATGCTATAAGATTAGTTACTGAGAATATCACAAAACATGAAATAACAACTTGGACTCCATCAAGTTACAGATTCTAATGGCCTCATTTTTATCCCTCCATCAAATTCTTCAAGAAGCCAAACATATCATAATACAGTTTCTCCCTTCGGAAAACTGAATTCTCAGTGAACTTTCCAAGATTTCACTTCAAACAATGAAAAAATAAAACACCATCAAAGTTAAACCCAATCCATATTGAATGAATACACAAATGATCCCTGAATTATAAAGTACTATTTTATTAAGTCTCTCGATTATTAAAGTTTTGAAATGATTCTCTGACTATAGAGTATTATTTTGTTGAGTTCTTCGACTATTAAAAGTTATAAAATGGTCACTTGACTATTCATTATGTTCCAAACTCGTTTTTTTTTTGCTAAAAAATTGACGGTATTTTGAGTTGAACTTTAATCTAATTACTGTGATATAATAAAGTATGATACTAGAATCTCAAACGACTATCATATATCAGCCATCATGTTAACGTTCAGCTTATACAACTATTAATTTTTTAACGAAAAATGATGAGTTTAGATTATAATAAATAATTGGATTATCATTTTGTAACTTTTAGTAGTCGATGGACTTAACAGAGTAACATTTTATAATTTAATGATCATTTTCTAACTCTTAATAATCGAGAAACTTAAAGCAATACACTATACTCGAATACCATTTGTGTACTTTACCCTTATATTTTTAATATGCTTTTCCCTAAAATAGCTTCAAATTTGAAGTTAGGGCTCACCCATATTTGTTTTCGTTAGAAGCACCAAGAACAACGCTGAGATACAAATTTCTCCATTTGATATTTTCTCGGCGACCAAACAGAAAACAGGGGAAAAGAAAAGTAATACAAACTCCAGAAATTCTTCACTGAAAAGGAAAATGAAAGAAAATAGCGTTGCAAGTACTACAACAACGCCAACAAACAGCAGCAACAATTCGACGCAGGAGCTTGCATCGGAGGGCCTAAAACATCTAGAAGAAACCATTGAAGCCGCTTTTCAGATCCTGTCTTCCATGAACGACGAGCTTTGCAACCCTGACTTATGGTCCACCAGTCCCACTACCAAGGCCGCCGCCACTAACGAGCCTTCTCTCTCCATCGGCGCCGTTTTAGGCAACGGTGATTCGTCCTCCGACGGAGGTGGCGGCCATCACTTGGAGATGGGTGGAGCTGGAGGTAGTGGCAATGGCTCCCTCGATGAGGCTCGCCTTAGGTATAAGAACTCCGTCGCTGCTCTTCGCACCGTGCTCTCCGCTATTCCCAATTCTCAAAAGGTATTGTAACGAAGTTTAGGGTTTCTTTACATCTTAAATTGGGAACTTTTTCATGGTTTGAACTAAACAGTGTTTCAATTTGTTGAGTAGGAATCTTGGGTTAGTTTAAAATTCATTGTTTTTGCTACGTAGGGAGCCTTTGAAAGTTTGAACGTGGATTCAATTCTGCAATTTCTCTTTGATCTTTAAACAGGCAAAAGAATTTGAAACGGGTTCAACTGCGAGTAGCCCTGCAGATGAAGCAGATATCGAGAAGTTGGAAGAGCAATCCTCGAATCTCAGGAAGGTATTTGCAGTGAAAATGTTAATGATTTTATGGTATTTAACCTCTGCCTTTCACTATAATCAAGCCAAGCCGATCTGGAATAGTGATAAACTCGAGCTCAACTTAAAACTCACAACTAGATATCGAGTTCGATAAAGTATTATCCGTTTAAGTTTGAGCTCAGCTTGAGATATTAATGAACTAGTCAAGCTCCACTCTATTGAGCTTGTTTACTCGATTCCCAGAGTCGCTCAAGCTCAAATTAAGGTTTAACATGTTCAACTTTGAATATTTAAAATACATATTAAAACTAAAAGAACTCAATTGCGCTTACAAGTTATTTGAATTGGATATTATGATGCTTGAATTCGACTTGCTTGATAGCACAAGCTGCATGACCTCAGGTCGATAATTACCTATGGGAATCCGATCTTTTTCCCCACATTGAACATAAGTCTCTTGTTTACACCGTTATTTCATGTCCCTTGGATCAATTGTGGTAGTGCCATTCACTCTTTAAAGTGATAGTTATTCAATTTAATCACAAACTGAAAATTAGAGCAAAAAAAATTCCGAATTATCAAGACTAAAATATTAACCCCGATTTTAGGGCGTGACAGCAAGATTTGGGCTTCCTATGGTATATATATATATATATATAGTTTTCGCTGTTTTAGGTAAAGTTTGTTAGCGTAATGCTATGATTTTATCTAGTTTAGAAGGTATAGGAAAATTGTGATTGCTTTAAGCTTTTCCAGCGAGTGTCAAATATGGTTTCTTTTTGCTTTTTTTGCATATATTTCTCTAGAGCTTAAACCTCCTTTTCCCTTACCTGTCCACTTGCTTAGAGGTTTCTCTAAGTGGTTGTTCTGGAGAATAATATTCCAATACCCATATATCAGGGAAAATGTGGGTTAACGTTGGGGATCAATTTGCTGATCGTTTTCTTTCTAATGCTGCTGAATTTTGTACCTTAATCCATGAAGAAACACAGTTTATTAAATTTATGTACAAATGCAACTAATCTGGTAATGATTTATTTGTAGGAGCTTGCAAACAAGAATGAATATATAAAGCGTCTAATTGATCAACTACGGGAGCTTATCACAGATGTATCGACTTGGCAAAGTCCTTGTTCCATGTAAAACTCGGACAATAATCGAGTTATCTGGGCTGCTGATACCCTCGGAGGTAAACATGAACCCAGATATCTGCATTGAGTGATCACATTGTTGTCTTTACTTCAGTCATTCTATTTGATGTCATATTAGGTTTATCCAGATCTCTTTGATTGACATTGAACTGCATTTTCTTGTTGTTAGTTATTGGAATTTGAAGGGCAGTGGTTTGGCCAATAGGAAGGAAATAGAAAAGGGAAAAGAGCCGCAAAGATTTCCTTTTCGATCCCTTACTATATGTATTACAGAGAAGTTTTTAGTTCAAGTCCAAAGTAGTTTGATTCAATGTAGTGGTCGCTTGATTCAAACTTATATACATACATATATATATATATACATACATACATACATATGTATATATGGACAAATTTTTATTTGCAGGAGTTTGAGCTTCATTGCCTGTCGAGTAGTTCGATATCATCTCGAGTGAAAGTAAAAAAAATGAGATGTTCTTCATAATCGATTTTTCATTATTAAGTACATTCCTACACATATACTTCTACCAAACACAATCAAACGTAAAATGCATGGATGTCAAATCTGTAATGAGAAGACAGCTGATTCAGACACAGTTCCTTCACCAAAACACTGCAGCTTTATTGCATATTCCTTGACAAATTTTAATCTGAGAACATACATATCTAAAACCTGTAAGAAAATATAGAGGGGGATGAGGTTTTGAGTTCAACCGGCTACGGATTCGAAGACCTCGTTGTAAGCGATGATCGCATATCTACAATGGCGGATTTGTCTGCTCCCAACTTGATGGCCTCTTTGCTTGCACTTATAAACCGGGAAACGGCTCCCCTCGTGTACTCATGAGCTTCTTTCACTGTCATTTTCTTGGTCATCTCATTAGGGAAACTGCTCAAGAAATGGTCGCCGTTAAGAACAGCCGCCAGCTGAACTATCTCACTCTGAAACTCAGAGAGACCAGCATCTTCTTTGGCTTCAGTTGTCCTCAGGGGTACAACATCCGGCAATGTCTCTGCAATAAAGCATGTTTTTTTAGGTTTTAGATATGTTTTTTAACCGATCTGTTGATTGAATATTGAAATAAAATACCAGGGCAATCAGTTCTGGGAGTGGTTAATTCCTTAACAACTCCTTCAAAAGTGCCAGCCCAAGCATCTCTATGAGTTAAGAAATTGGAGGAGAGGTTGAACATTTTCTTTATTGTTGCTGGGATTGATGAGTGCTCAAATTCTGAGCTTGGAGTTGGTCCCTTTGGTCCGCTTATCACTGCACCGCAAGTTTCAAGCATTAAACATGCAAGGTGGCGGTTAATACGCAACCCGACGTTTCGAGTCCTAGTAACTTACCGGTGCCTTTCTTGATCCAAGGAGAGACCATTATAGTCGGCACGCGAACTCCGAGCCGATCGAACTTGAAGAATGAAGGAGCGGGGCCGGTGTTCCCATCCGGATTCGGGACATTAACGAACGGTGTCTTGACATGATCATAGAAACCACCATGTTCATCATAAGTAATAACCAAGAGTGTCTCGTTCCATTGAGGGCTCGCCCTCAACGTCTCGTACACCTCTTTCACCAGCTTCTGACCGTTGGCGACGTCGTGGGATGGATGGTCGTCGTTCGCGGGCAGTCCTTTGAGATCGAAATACCTCGGCTCGATAATGGTCAAGCTCGGAAGCTTACCGTCTCGAGCATCTTTCTTGAACTTCAAACCGAACTGATGGAACTTGAAGACATACTTCAACTTCCTCAAGTTCCTATAGAACAAAGTTGTGGGAATGTTTTGGAAGTATATCCCAAAATCCCCACCATTTTCATGGAGTGATTCAAAGATCGTTTTTTGAGGGTACCCTTGGGCCAATTGTCTCTTAACATGACTGGTCGAGCCATGTGAAGTGGCGGAATACACAAATAACCGATTCGGTTGAGTCGGACCGGGGATCGACGAGAACCAACGATCAAACACCGCGAATTCCTTCACCAGCGAAGCGTAAACCGGCACCGCCTCCGGTCGGAACCCTTTCATCACGGTCTCCGAGAGGTTCGGCGACACGGAGAGCGCCTGCTCGACGAAGCCGGACATGGAAGGGAATGTGGCTGAACCGAACACCTGTTGCTCGACAGCTTCGAACGAGTGACCCGGATCCGGATCCACGAACTCGGCATCGTCGGTGAAGCAAATGGATTGCGGGTTCGGGTTCTTTGTCGAAATGGGATTGCATTCGTCGCCAGTGACGCCGTTGATTGCCGGGTTTATGGATTTCTTCATCCAACCAACCATGTGATCAAAGGATCTGTTCTCCATCACTAAAACCACTATGGTCTTAATGGGGGACTGTTGCTGGGCTACTAATGGTGAAAACACGGTGAGGAAGAGAAAGAAGATGAAGTTGAATGAGATTGCTGGGCTGGTTTTGGATTGCTCCATTGAAGCTCTGAAGGGAAAAAGGTTGTTCTTTTGATTTTCTGGGTAAAAGGATTATCCTTCTGGGTTCTTATAGCAGGTTTCTAGGAATCCAAACACCTCAAAAACTTGAGTAAACTACACCCGAGTGCTCCAACTATTATTTTTTTCAAAACCATGTCTAATGTTATGATTTTCTTTCATTTTGGTCACCAATCAATAAAAAAGTTAATAGAAGTCCTCTTTAAAAAAATAATAATGATATGATATTATCTTATGGTTACATGTAAGCATCGGCTCTAACACGTTCAAGTTCACATCTTTTAGTTATGGGTTAACTACATAATTGATTATATATGTTTGTGTTTTGTTCATTTTTCTTCACTGATTTTTAAAAAATCACAATATATAATCATTTTCGTTTTTTTAATTAAGATATGGTCATCATAAGTTAAGTTTCGTTTATTTTAATATAGGGTTAGTTTTGTTTTAATAAATTAAATATATTAAATTAAAATAAATTAAAATAAAGTTAGTTCTTCAATCGAATGGTCACATGTGACATCATTCAATTAAAATAAAGTTAATCTTCAAGAAACAACAAAAATTCATTTATCACAGAGGTAATTTTGTTTATTCTATATCTTAATTAAATAAAAATAAAAGTGACTATATATTATAATTTTTGAAATGAGTGAAGAAAAATGAACAAAACACAAACATAAGTGATCAATCATATAATTAACCCTTCAATTATTATCTGATCAATAAGTTTATGGAACATAATAATATATAATTAAATTAAAGCAAGGGTCAAATCCATCATTTTCTTAAAAAGTTTTAGATTACAATTATAACAAAGATTCTCTATGCTTTTACTCAAGGAAGTTACTCATCCATTAACTTGTGTTATCTATCTAACCACAAGTTATTATCCATTAATTAATGCAATGTTAACTAACAAGTTTAATAATAATTAATGATGATAATAATTTATTACATCAAAAATATAAATAATCTTCTTAAAAATTATTATTAAAATTTATCTAAGTGGTTAAAGGAATAATTACAGCAGTATGGTTGAACGTTCATTGACAAATGGTTGGAAGTACTTTGTAATCACCTTATCTTAATCCAAAAAAAATATTATTTAAAAGTTACATAATGAATATTAAATTTTTTTCTTCATAAAATGGGCACAAAACCATTAAGAAATATCTCATTTGATCCTTAAGTTGTAATTAAAATTTAATTTTACTCTTGATTTTAAATGAAATAATTTTTATTAGGTTCATTGAATTGAAAATAAAATAGATATAGATAAAATAAATATCATCTTTTAATTTTATATTATGAATATTAAATTTGTACCGTATAAATTAAAAATTATTTGATATAATATTATGGATGTATGAATTTTAAATTACGTTTAAATTTGTTAAATAAAAGTTAAATGCTTAAATCACACCATTAATAAAAAATAATTTTATTAATTAATAATATAAATTTTTGGGCGTTAAAAATATTAATTTTTTTTGTTTATTTTACAAATACAACAACATTTAAATAAATAATTAGTTATAAAATTATTTTTTTGTTAATAAAAAAATAGTTTCATTGTTTGATAACTGAATCTTTTAAAAATATTTTTAGTTTTAAAAATAATTTATTTTCATATATTTTTAAAAAATCCAAAGTTTTAGAATTATTACTTGAACACGTTGAAAAATATTAAAATAAATTTTATTTATAATTGAGAGGCAAAATAAGATATTTTTTCATTAATTTAGTATGTTATGTCACCCCTTAATAACATTTAAGGATTGTATTAGTTTTTAACAAAGTTTAAAATTTTAATGTCTATTTTGTAACTTTTAAAAATTTAATGCTAAATAAAATCAATTAAAAAACTTTTGTGACTATTTATGAATTTTACCCTATTTATATTAGTGATGCATTTCAATACATGTCATTAGTGGTGCATTTTAATGAATGTCACTCGTTTTAGACTTATCTTATAAAAAATTGATGTAACATGTTAAAGAGAGGTGAAATACAAACTAGACTAGAGGGACCACGTCCCTAAAATTTTAATAATTATAATTTAGATCCTTAAAATTTTCTAAAATTTAATTTGACCTCCAAAAACTTTTAAAAATTCATATTAAATTTTAATTTTTTTGAATATATTTAATTAAACATCTTCCATATTTTTTTTTAAAATTTAAGTATCTAAAAATTTCAATTTTTTTAATTTTTGGAGAAAATTAAACTAAACCATTCAAAAAAATTAAAATCTTAATTTAAACCTCTATTTTTTAAAGTTTTAAATTAACCCCAAACTCCATCACCAAGTTCCACCACATCGTTAAAGTCAAATAAAATCTTATAAAAGTCTGAAAAATATAATTAAAATTTATAATATATATATATAAGAATTGCATTGAATTTAATCTATCACCTAGTTTAGTAGGAAGAGACATTGGATTATTTAAAACAATATCAAAGGTTCGAATCATGACATTATGAATAGAACAGACCGAGTTGAGAAGATCACTCTCATATTAGGCCTCGTAATATTCAATCTGAATAATCGACCATAGATCAAATATTGATAATTATATAAAAAATCATTTTATCATGTGAATTAATTAACTAAATTGAAAAAAGTTATAGATTTGCCACTACTTCCCATTACTTGAATCAAGGCTATTCATTGCCCAACAAAGTGGCTGAAGCATGTGCACCACTACCTAATCCAATTATTGTTTTAATCTTTCTTATTTTCAAGATAATAATAATAATTTAAATGAAAAGTGAATGAGGTTTATCTTTACACAATAATTACACCACTTTTAATCTTTATATATTTAAAATCTAAAATTTTATTTTTTAATAATATGATTAAATTAAGAGACTTAAAATAATCAAATTAAAAAATATGACCTAAGTTTACAACTTGTGCATGGTATAAGGATTAATAATGAAATTTGACATAACAAGTTTAATGATTATGATTATGTCAAAAATTTTAAAATTTGAAAAGAACATGGACTAAAAATGATAAAATTAAATTATATGAACTAAATCAATAATTTACTTATAGTTCGGTGACTAATAGAACAGTTTAACCATTGTAGATAATTGGAGTCAGGTTGGTCCTAAAGGAATGTATCTTGTCAACAATACTAACATGTTTTTAAGGTGTTTTTTTAAAATATGGATTAATTAGATTATTTGTTGAATATTTAAATTTATTAAGATAAATTAGTAAAAATAATTAATTTATTTAAATATTTAAATTTATTATTTATAAAAATAAATTAAATTCAAACAATAAGAACTTTTTTGAGGAAAAATAAAACGAACTGAATAATAAATATTCAAATTTAAATTTATTATTCATAAAAATGAAACAAATATAAATAATGAATTTCTGATTATGATTATTCATATCAGCTCTAAATATATTAAAAATAATCATTAAAATAATTTAATTTAAATATTATTAAAATATATAAAAATTGGGGAAAAAATTCACATATATTTGAATGTGTATCATCTATTATATCTTTATGGAGATTTCTCAAGTGCGACAACCTTAATATACGGTTAAGGAAATGCGCTACCCGAAATGTTATTATTTTTTAACATTTCCGGTAAAACGTTACTTAAAACATTATTTTTCTACAGGAAATCTTAATATCGAGCGATACCTAAAATATTATTTTTCTATCGAAAATGTTAATATTAGGCGCTACCTAAAATATTATTTTTTTCTACTAATTTTTAAATAGTAAAATTAATATTTCCTGTAGAAAAATAATATTCTAAATAATACTTTACCAAAAATATTAAAAAAATAATAATATTTCCGATAATATTTTTCCTGTATATTAAGTTATTATACGACATAACTACCCATCCTTATCCGTCACTGCTCTCGCACTTAGAGATTAAGGAATGTGAAAATTGACGTATGTTCTGTTTTAGGCCAATAATTCACTAAAAGGGAAAATTACAAAAGAGGTTAAAATAAGGATAAATTATTCTATTGGTCACCCCAATTATTTAACCTTTTTCATTTTGGTCACTGAACTATTTTGGGCAAAGTTATACTCTTCATTTAAAATTTAATGACAATGCTGATGTAAAAAATAATATTTTATTTATTATTAATTATTCATTTCATTTATTCTCTTCACATAAAAAAACTTTACGTATTAATATTTTAATAAACTAATACTATTCATTAATAACATGAGACGCATCTCATCATTAATTACTACATTAAGTTCAATACTTATTACGTAAATGAAAAATAATATTTAATTTAAACTATAATTAAAATTAATTATATTTATATCTATAAAAAATATATCAATCATAACATAAATTATAAATATTTTATTAAAATATATTCTTGTTATAAAAAATATACTTTAATAAATATAAAAACAATTAATTTCAATAAAAGTGTCTTGTTTAGTGCAATGGTTAAGAATTGAACAATATTGAAGGATTTTGTGCCCATAATAAAATATTAATAGTGTGAAAATTCAAGAAAAAACATAGCAGCATTGTCATTAAATTTTTAATGAAAAATAAAACATGTAACTTCGATGATTGTATTAAAAAATAGGGATGACAACGGGCCGGGTTAGGGTTGGGGTTTTTGGTCAACTCGATTTGATCGAAAAATATGCACCCTCCACGAAAATCCGATCCGATCAGGAAATTTTATATCCTACACGCGATCTAACCCAACTCGAAGATATATATCCTCCATCCGAATCTGACCCGACCCAGTTTTGCAGAGTATAAGTCTGACCCGACCCGATTCTACACAATATAAATTAAGGATTTAATTAAAATAATAATAATTTTTAAAGGAAATTACATTATTATCCTCGGGTCGTGTCGGAGTTTTTTCACCCTCCACCCGACCCGACTTAACAACTTAAAAAATTTGAACCGATGCGACCGAAACCCAATTTTTAAAAAAATTCGATCTGATCAAGTCAGAATCCGTCGGATGCAGGTGAAATTACCATCCCTATTAAAAAAAGATTTTGGTGACGAGAGTAAAATAATAATAATAAATGGCTGACTAGTTGGGGTAGTTTACCCTAAAATGAATGTAACCCAAAAGTCCCCATATAAGGCATTGAAAAGGGTGAGAAAATAATTTGACCCCACAAACCGACATTTGTTGGAACTTTAAGGCTTTGAAGCCTCAACGCTTCCAAGTTTCAACCATTTGGACCGTTCATTAAAATTTAAATAATTTGTGTTTCATTATTATTACTAATATATATATTATCTTTAATATCTAAATGATTACAAGTTTAGAAATTATTATTTAATTATTTTTTAGAAAGATATAAAATGTGATATTTGAGAATATTATAACAAAAATTCATTAATTTTGAAATGTCAAATATAATTAATTGACAAAAAGGTATGAGAGTTTCTTGTACTTTTATAAAAAAAATCAAAATGGTTATTGTATCTTTTTTTTTCTTTCAAAGTGGTCCTCCAACTAAGAAAATAAGCTTAATGTGTACCTTGAGCAATGTTTTTTTATCGTTGACAATTACAATACTAACATGATAGTTCACAGTATTGATGTGACAGTCCACGATAGCTGATAACATGACAAATGAATTAAATTGATAACTCAAACATGACAGATAGGCTGCTATATCAATATTGTGAACAACTACATTAACACCATGAACTGCCACGTCAGCAACGTAAGGGCAAACAACGAATATTTGGTATCGAAGTCTGGCTTCATTAGTTGTAAAAGTAGAATGAATTCAGATAAATTGGATATCCAAATTCATTATTCCAAAAGTAAAATAGATTTGAATAAAATATAAATGAATATTTATTAGAGGGTAAACTATGCGTTTAGTATTTAAACTTTTAATTTTTTCAAAATCATGCCTAACAATTAGTTTTTGTTTCATTTTAGTGCCCGTTAAAAACTTAACGTTAAGTTTTTAAAAAATTAAAAGTATATATACTAAAACGAATCAAAACTGATAGTTTATGTATTAAATGCGTTAAGGTGTTAACGATGAGTACACAAATGAAACAAAAACTAAACGTTTGGTATGATTTTGAAAAAAATTAAAAGGTTAGGTACTAAAACAGACCGAAACTGATATTTTAGGTATTAAACTCGGAATTTGCCCTTTAATATATTATGTAAATAGTAATTATAAGCTAAGAAAATATTTCTTAATTTGTATTGACTTAAAAAATGGGGAAAATATAAAATATGGAGTGCCTCTAAACTAAACCCAACTTTGGCCAATCAATCCTAAGCAAAGTTCTTTATATATATATATATATATATATATATATATATATATATATATATATATATATAGAGAGAGAGAGAGAGAGAGAGAGAGAGAGAGAGAGAGAGAGAGAGAGAGAGAGAGAGAGAGAGAGAGTGAGAGAGAGGTGGTGGGGGTGGGGGGAGGAGGAAGTTTTCTTAAGAATGCTAATTACCGACTTTCCTCAGGTATGCTAATAAGCCCAACCCGGCAACGACAGCCGCCCCTGCCGCGAACGTGTTGTATGCAGCAGTCCAAGCATCGGAGTTTGTGTAATCCGAGCTTCGTGTATTGGAGGCCCGTCGACCATCTTTCATCTCCGAATAATCTAAATGCAATCTTAAACCCTGCACAATACATCAATAAGATATCTTTAACTTGATTCGACTCCAGTGATACATTCTAATTTTATATATCTTTAAGTATACTATCAGCAAAAGAGCTTTCAGACATGTTGAGCTCCACGTATGTTTATAGGGGATTGATTCCGTATAGCCATTGTTCCGACGCAACAATGCAATTTCAAGCATGTATCAATATGACATAAAGAAGAATTAGTACGAACCTAAACTTGAAACTAGAAGGTTGAGGAAAGAAAATAATAAAATAAAAATACCTATTCACAATAATCAATAGGGTAAACTACACATTTAATATCTAAACTATCAGTTTTGGTTCGTTTTAATACCTAAACTTTTAATTTTTTCAAAACCATGCCTAACATTTGGTTTTCATTTCATTTTAGTATCCGTCATCAAAAACTTAACACGTTTAGTACCTAAACTATCAGTTTTTGTACATAAACTTTCAATTTTTTCAAAACTTAACGTTAAATTTTGAATGGGGTACTAAACTGAAATAAAAACTAAAGTTTAGGTACTAAAACAGACTAAATTTTATAATTTAGATACTAAACTGGTAATTTAACCTAATCAATATATATTACTTCACACTTCTACTAAACTTAGCTTAACATTATATTTACATATATGTCAAAATTACTCTCCATGTTTATTGAAATAATCATTTTGGAACGTTTCGTTTTAGAATAAAAAGGCCCCCTAACATTTGACAAAATAGTCTATTTGGCCCATATTCTTTTTTGTTATAGCATTTTGCCTTCAATGTTTCATTTTAGGATAAAAAATGCCCTTATTTTAGAGTGTTAATTGTGTGCTAACTAGCGGTTTCCATCTATAGAGAGGCATTTTGCTCGAAAATGAAACGATGGGGCAAAAATACTAAAAAAAAGAATAAGAACCAAAATGATCATTTTGATAAATGTTAGAGGCTAAGTTTGATATTATGCCTATTATATTCTAATATTGAAAATATAAGTAGCAAAGTATCCTAACTACGAGGAAAGATTTATTTAAACTACTGATAAGGAAATTTTAGGAAATAAAATTAGGATAAACCACTTATTTAGCACCTAAACTATCAGTTTTGATCCGTTTTAATATCTAAACTTTTATTTTTTTTCAAAATCATGCCTAACATTTAGTTTGTATTTTATTTTAGTACCCTGTCGTAAAAACTTAATATTTTAGTACCTAAACTATCAGTTTTGGTATATTTTGGTACGCAAACTTTCAATTTTTTTCCAAAAATTAATGTTAAATTTTGAATGAGAGTAATAAAATGAAAATAAACTAAACTTTAAGTATGATTTTGAAAAAAATGAAAGTTTTGATACTACAACAAACTAAAACTAATAGTTTATGCACTAAACACGTAGTTTACCCATAAAATTATAATCAAATCTCTTAACAATGTGTAAAGCAAATTTCACTGTAAAAATATGATCATACCTTCAAACCAACTAACTTTGCATGTTCCACTGCCACTTGAAGATCATAGTCTGACGCCAGTACAACTTTATCATGGTCTTCATCTTCATACTGCATAATAAGCACCTCAATTAGCATACATTTCCGAGAAAAATATATTAACATACCTAAGTAATCATTAAAAAAAACTAATAATATTTCTAAAAATATACCAGGATTTGAGGCACATTGTTTCGATCTCTGTCATCCCCCAGCCTACGAAGGACTGCAGATATTAGATTAGTTAAACTGCGTGTATCTGCATCAAACAGAAACGTGCAAAAAACCTGTTAAATACTATTTTCTATACACAATAGCCTGTAACACTGTAGGGTTTATATAAAGAAGTAGATCCTCTAATAGTATCTACTGAACACAAATTTCAGCAGCCGTAACAAGTGGCCAGCCTAGAAAACTGCTATTAAATAATAGGGTAAACTATGCACTTAGTACTTAAATTATTAATTTTGGTTCATTTTAGTACTTAAACTTTTAATTTTTTCAAAATCATACCTAACGTTTAGTTTTTTTTTCTTCATTTTAATACCCTTCCATTAAAAACTTAACACGTTTAGTATCTAAACTATAAATTTTGGTCTGTTATAGCACCTAAACTTTCTTTTTTTTAAACTTAACATTAAATTTTTAACGGGGTACTAAAATAAAAAAATAAAGTTTTCAACATAAGGGTACTAAAATGAAAAATATTAAACTTTTGGTATAATTTTGAAAAAATTGAAAGTTTAAGTATTAAAAGAGACTAAAACTGATAGTTTAGGTACTAAACATGTAATTTACCATAAATAATAACTTAGTAATTAGCCTAGAAGTGTTTTGCTTAGGACTGCATATGTTTGACAAGTTACAAACAAGCAACACTTGCGTATGAACCACATGTAAAAGAAAAGGACATGTATCGGTGGAGGCAGGGATGGACCCAAGGGGCCTGACAGAGGCGGTTGTCATGTAAAATTTTTAAATTGTCATATAATTTTTGTATTTTCAATTGATAATATATTTTTGTCTGTCTTAAAATTTTATAATTTAATCCCCTAAAATTTTATGAATACACTCCTCTTAACATAAAATCCTACGTCTGTCTCTATACAGAGGTGACTAATATCACAGTCCAAACCAATATGGGATTCATGGTTCAAGGTTCCTCTCTAGGACCATGACATTCTCCCATACTCCAAGTGCCCATTGTCCTAAATGGCACATCATTAGTACTCTAGACCGGCTCTAGCATCAAATGTCATAGACTAAACCAAGCTACAAGTTATTGTCGGCTTCAAAGCATTGAACCTCACAGTTTAACTCATGAAAAAGGCACCTCACAGGTTGAAAGTAATGTGAACACCTATGTCCTAAGATCAACTCAACCGATAAGGAATTCATCGGTCCTCTTTGAAACCATGACACAGTTTATGAGTAGAAACAGTAGCATACCACAAATAAATCTATGCATTCGGCCCCTTTTATCTTGTATTTTGAAACCAAATGTATAAGGCATAGTGGAGGAAGGATATGGAAGAGATCTCTCTGTATCTGCTACTTCAGAAGCCAACTTCAATGAGCTATAGCTGAAACATCACCATCAATAAGTTAGTAAAGCAGTAATGGCACATAACACAGAAACATAAACAGAGCAACAACATAAGAAAACCTTCTTGTCTCGTCTTCTTCTTCAATGGGAGGTAAGGACATTGCGGAATCCCAAAACTTCTGCACCATTGTTGTGGTAGTCTCATTATTGATTGCAAAATTTTTCCCAACCTAGTTATTGAAAAATATTATGGGATCATAACAAAAAACATCATGAATCGTCAAGGAAATAGGAAAAAAAAAATTATAATCTTGTTCTTTCTCTTTAACAAGTTCATTGTGTGCGTGGGCATTAATAGTTTTCTTTGGGATGCGTTGCACATGTATTATTTATAAAAAAATGTTGTATTTATAAGTATGAAACAAATGTGCCTGTGAATCTTGATTTGTTTAATCTATGATTAGTTAACATTTAAAGCACAAAGAAGCTTTATTTATGCAAGTAAAAAATATTATTTTTCATCAAATTATTAAGCTAATCACTTTTGTTTTAGTTTTGTACATTTTTCTCATTAAATTCAAAAAACATAATAATTGATCACTTTCGTTTTTATTCAATTAAGATGTGATCACTTTTACTTAATTTCCTCACTAACAACAATCAAAATTTCAGTGATTAAACATTCAAAGGTTGATAAGGTAAGTGACTACATCTTAATTAAATAAAAACGAATATGACCACATATTAATGAAATAAAAACGAAAGTGATGAAATATTATGTTTTTTGAATTCATGGAGAAAAATTATATAAAACTTAAACAAACGTGACCAATCTTGTAGTTTACCCAATAAGAAAATAGATACACTATAATTTCAGAATGATACTCACTTGACCTACAGTGGCAACAGCGGCATGAGTAACATGGAGCACATCCACAACAGCAACTATTTCTCCGTCTGCATCCAACCAAAGAAACTTATTTAGAACTGGTTTGATGTATGTAGAAAACTATGTTCTTTGTAGGGTAGCAACTCATATCACCTCTATCTACCACAGGAAGGTGTAAAAAGTTGCCATCATGCATGGTCTTCAAAGCATGAACAATTGGTGTGTTGAGCGTTGCACATACTGGGTTAGGAGTCATAACCTTTACATCAAACCAAAAGCAATATGAACAGAACTCAAGAAATTGCTTATCATAGAGGTAAAAAAGGATGAGCTGCTGCTGGTATATAAGGTCAAGCTATAAGAACAAACTCTGTTGACAAATAAATAAATAATAAAAGGAAAGAAAAGAAAAGAAAAGAAAACCTTCTCCACTGAAGTAGTCTCTGGAGGCAGATTATGTGCTATTACCCGCATCAATATCATTTGAACTATCAGAAATCCAAAGTAAAAACTTAGAATACACATCAATGACAATTGTAACAGTTAAAAATAACATCAGAATGGTAAAACTAAGAAAAATGTTGAATTGTGATTTGATTCAAAAGAGGCTCACGTTAGAATCCCCCGTGGTTTGTTTTCAATAGTCACAACCGCAGAATTTGCCCGGCATTCAAGCATCTTTTTTGCAGTCGTTAAAACTGTGTCAGTTGGTGAAACCGTTGCAATCCTGAAAGAAAGGTATCATATGAGGCAATACAACTCAAAATAACACTAGGGAAAAATCAATATTCATTAAAAAGGAAAAATTATTACCTACTTTGGATTGTCTGCAATAATTGTAGACAGTGAAGGCCTGAACATATGATCTTTAAGTGTCTGAATTAATGTATTCTGACCTGCATATTACCCCAAATGGCAGCATGGACTTAAAAGTTAAAACTGGTATGTTGATAGCTAAAACTATAGAAACAAAATGAATAAAACAAAGACAAAAAAAAATCATTTAAGCAAACGATATCATTATCCACAAACCAGAGAAAGATGTTCCCCAATTTTTTTCTACGCCTTCAACAGCTGCAGCAATAGCTTTTCCCTTTTCAGCTGACCTTTCCATTCGAGCAATAGCATCATACAAACACTTAGCTATATCAAGCAAAGCAATGACCTCCCCATTCTGTACAACGGGCAAATGTCTAGATCTTCCTGTTTAGAATGATATCAGAACAATATTAAAGGGTAAGACACAAGAAAATATATCACATAAAAGGGTGGGTATCAACCGAAAAAAACCCAACCTTGCACCATCTTCTGGAGTGCCTCCACAGCAAGAGTGTCAGAAAGAACAAATACTGGGTTCTTAGTCATTACTTTGGAAACCGGTGTCTCCTCCATATTAAGCTCCTGAGCAATCACTCTTGTAGCTATGTCCTGCAGGCAAAAAAGAACCAGTAAAGAGAGACAGCATCGTTAACCTGATTCACTTTAGATAAAATATATAAGAACAAAGAACAAGGCATAAGAAGTCATATCAGAATGAAGAAACTAATTCATGTACTTGTCTCCCTTGTTTTGAGATTCAAGTAAAGGGAGTTTGGAATACTCTTTCAAGGATTTTAGTCATACCTCGTCTGTGAGAATCCCACAGAGCAATGCATTTGAGTCAGTAAGCAATAAAGCATCAACCTTACGAGCAGCCATCTTCCGGGAGGCCTCGTAAATAGTATTACTTTCCGGTACCGTCACGGCCTTCGACAGCCGTAATCTCTTCACCGTTCGCTCACCAGCTAGTCCACTTTCCACAAACAAGTTGAAACAATAAAAAAAGGAAAAAGAAGAGAATCATAACTACTTTTTTTCAAGAGAAATTTTACATTGAATACAATATTTAACCATTTTTCATTATTCATTTCGCAGAATGTACACATTTAGAACCTGTATGTTCACCAATTATTACCAACTGCCTTTATCAATCCATTCAAATCCAAATGCAATTATTCATTTTCTGAACGGAAGTTCAACAGACTAAATTGTGCCTTCCACAATTATAACTCACAAGATCCTTCATCCAAAATTCTTCCTTTTTTTTTTAAATAATGGTAAAGAAACCAAGCGTAAAATTTGAAATGAAAAAACTTACATAAGGGCTGCACGAGAAGAAGGTAAGAGTTTCCGGATAGAATCGGAACCTCCATTCTCCAATGCTTTTCTCCTAGCTGGTGATACGCCTGACTTTGGAAAACTCCGCCTCGGCGAACCGCTGTAACTCGCCATCTCTGATCCCTGATACACGCATTGAATTTTCCAATTTTCTCATACGAAAGGGAAATAAACGAATAAAAATAAATAAGTATCAATAAATATATCAACAACTAACCAGAATAATAGACTTATTTGATTTCAATTCCAATCAAATCGCTAAAAAAATTCAGCTCAGATTCATTGATGAACGAATCGAGAAGAGGTGAAGTGCCAAAATCAAGCGATTCATGAAACAAACAGAAAATGGAGAAAAACCGAGGTGAAGCATTTCGAGTTTTCCCGGAAAATGTACCGAGCGGGAAAAAAGGAAGAAGGAATGAGATTGTTCCACGTGGGAATCATTTTAACCGAAATTCCTCCAATTCAAATGGTCTCCACAAAATCAGAGATAGAGTGTCGCTTCCTTTTGTTATGGGCTTATGGCATATATCCAAACACTAAGAGAGACGACGAAACCATCGGAATCCATGCAAAACCTTGGAAACAAGTTGATCAAAGATTCATTGGGAACGTTTTTATCCGAGTTCGATGAGGTCTGAGTCGAAACGACGAATCAATTATATGCATTTACAATATCCCCTTGTCTATACATTTAGCCAAGAGTCTAACCTTAACAACCTCTCGAATGGCTGCTAAGATAGTCTCCCAATCCCTATTGTTTCCTCTAAAATTTCTACGATAATTTTCCCGCCAAACGAAGTAGTAAAAGCATTCACCATTCGCCATACCCTCATTTCTTTTTTATTGCCCTCAAATTCCAAGGATTCATCCAGACTATTCTGGATCGACCCAGGTCGCAAATCTAATCTTGGTGAACGAGTCTACCTTATTTTTTGCATACACAATGAACTTCATTTCTTTTTAATCGCCCTTTAATTCCAAGGCTTCGTCATGACTAATCTGATTCTATCCAAGCTGCACACTTGATTTTGATAGGTGAATCTTTCAACCAGAATTTTCTGCATACACAAAGACTCGAACCTGAGATTTACTTAAGTGATATTAAGCTGATTGTCAATTGAACAAACCCATTGATACCTAGGGATGGCAATGGGTTGAGTTTTTGGTCCATCCGACTTGACCCAAGAACAATGAGTCATTCACCCGAGACCCAACCCGACCAAAATAAAATTTTACCCGAACCAAACCCGACCCGATATATAACTTAAAAACTTGACCCGAAATAATAATAAAGATAGTGACTTAATTGAAAAAATAATATATAGAGGGATATTATTATAATTATTCCTAAATATATAAGGTAAAATTATATATATTTTTCGGGTAGAATCGAGTCAGATATTTTTTACTCTAAATCTGGATCTGACCCAACCCGAACATGAATTTTTAAAAAAACCGACCCGATCGGGTTGGAACCCATCGGATTCGAGTCTCATGCCCTAATACCATACCCTCATTTCTACTTGTTCATGCATGAATTTTTTTCTTATAATTTAAACATAATGTACAGCGAAGTTGGTCTATGGTGGTGCAAATGCATAAGAAAAAGAAAAAGAAGAATTTGTATTAAACTTACATGGTTAAAGGATGTCAAGCAAGTCAGTTTAAGTGTATAACGTGCCATATCATACTTCTATTATTGGAATAACGAGTGGTAACGGTTAAATAACCGATTTGCTATAATATTAGTGACTATTTTATTACTTTTGAAACATCAACATGCAAAATAAAAAATTACTCATACTTTTTAACTTTCTTTTTCCATTTTATAAAACTCTCCATATTCATTTTATCATTTAATTATGGTTTAATAATTTTTTAGTGCACAAACTAAACTTCAAAATATAATTTGATGTCCAAAGAATTTTTTTTGTTAATAATAAATGTTTAACGTTTTATCTGTTATATTTTTAAAGTTAGTGCTTACCATTATATATTAAAAATATTTAATAATAAAAATATTATTTTTTAAAAATAAAAAACCAAACCTTCGCGTCGTCTCTCTTCCTCCCATCCCCCGCCGTCGATAGTAAAAGATCACCATCAGTCGAGTTTTGTTCAGAGAAGGACGAAGAACTCAACGGTGGCGGACGTCTAATGTACAGACGACTATAACAGTCAAAATCGCCAGAAAATAGTATTGAAAAACTTAGAAATTCGATGATCTTCGCGTCATTTTTCACGACGATTGACGTAGTTTCATGGTAGGTGGGGGACTGGACTTTGGTTGCAGTGGCGAGATGGTTCTGATGATGTCAACAATGACGACCACGGACCGATGATGACCGATCGACGACGGAAGATGTAAAATTTTAAAGTTTTTTTTTTAATTATAATATTATTATTTTTTTAATAAAATATTTTTAAAAATTTTATATACGTAACACGTGTCAAATAATGATCAAATTTAGTGTCGTTACAGTTCAGACACCTAAAAATATAACGTTGAAAACTATAATCACCTGTTATTAACAAAAGAAATTCTGTAGACGTTGTATCGTGTTTTAGAGTATAGTATAAGTATTAAAAAATGTATTAAACCTTCTATTAATCTAAATTAAATACTGGAAAACTAAAAAAGGAAAAATCTTCTCACTCGGTGCTATTTTGTGGACTAATCTGAGAACCCAGCAAAAGAATTTGATCTGTAATTTGGGATTTTTCTTCTCTACCGGATTACCTCTTTCTCATTTCTCTCGTGTTAGGAGCTCTAAATCCCTTCTTCCCTCACTCATTTGCCACCTGTAATGGCGACATCCATAGCAGCTCGCATCTCCAGGAAGGCCGTGGCCTCCGCTTTCTCCGCTCACCGTCACGTCATCTCGTCCCGTTGTTTCGCCACGGAGGCCGCGAAAGCGATCTCGCCGTCGTCGGATCAAGTGAAGTGGGATTACAGGGGCCAAAGGAAGATAATCCCTCTCGGACAGTGGGTCCCGAAGGTCGCCGTCGACGCTTACGTGGCTCCTAACGTCGTATTGGCGGGTCAGGTAACCGTCTACGACGGAGCGTCGGTGTGGAACGGCTGCGTGCTACGCGGCGATCTCAACAAGATTTCCGTTGGATTCTGCTCTAATGTCCAGGAACGCTGCGTCATTCACGCCGCTTGGTCCTCACCTACCGGTAATCTCTTTTTTCCCCCATTTCTCTTGCCGTTTCCGAGTTTTTTTTTTATTTGAATGAGCTAAATTAGCCGACAGTGTAATGGATTGAGACTTATATATTGTGTTTGAATGTGTTCAATGTAGCTGAAAGATGAGTAAAGAAAGAAAATTTGTTAAGCTGGATTTAGTATAGGGTTTCTGGATAGTTGTTTATAATAAGAAGTTAGCTTGAATTTTATTCTGGGGTTATTTTACCGTGGAATGAGCTAAATTTGTCAAAGCTTTAATTGGTTGAGACTTGCACATTATGTTTGAATGCGCTCAATGCAGCTGAAAAGGTTCTTAGGAGCTCTTGATGTCCACTTAATGTGAATCGAGCTGTTTGATTTAGGATCTCACGACGAAGAAGATTATTGGTAAGAGATGCATATGATGGTTTCTACATTCTTGATACCCAGACACTTGAATCGATTGTCTGTGTCAGTACCATCACTCCTTTTGACTAACATTGTCGTTTCAGTCACCCTTTGCTTTCTGTGTTTAAGAAACTTTGTCATCAGTTTTCCCGTATTTCTTCTTTGGATTGTGAGTATTGTGGTTTGCTAAACACCATCATCTTAGTTCTAATCCTTGAGCTAATAAGCAAGCTACTGCTCCTTTTGAGTTGATGCCAAGGAAAGGTGTAATTTGTTTTAGACGGAGGTATTGAACTGAAATAATCAGGTTAGCTATGAACATGGTACTTTTTCCATGTTCTTTGTTGTGCAGATGTAAGTTCATGTTGCAGCTGTGGTGTGAGATACTGTTGTGGATGCTTTTCGGTAGGACATTAGAATCGAAGTTGTTTGGTAGAACTCTTGGAATAGAAGTTGTTTTTGGTAGGACTTTATTTTGTTTGATACGATTTCCCTTAATTATTGTAATAAACAATCTGTATTTAAAGAGAGGAATAAACAAAAGCAAACTGAAATTTATCAAATCCGACAGAGATCTAGGTCTTTCTCTAACAGGTCCTAACAGAATAGGCGGAGCAAAGAACTAGGGAAAAGCTCTGCTATTAAACACAGATTTTCCCTCCATCTCCACCGACTCAATCCAAAACTCAGTCATAACAGATACTCAAAACATGAAGTGATATGTGCAAAAGGAAAAAGAAAAAGGAAATGTTGGTGTTGTGAGCCAATTTCCTAAGCCAAAAACAATCTTGTTCGATTAAGTTTTCATATCCATTGTCTTTTATTTACAATGTAGAGTCTAGATATTTTACTCATAGCAGCTATTGAATTCCTGTTTAGTATTTACAAGTATAGGAAGTGGAGACTGGAGATGTAGTGATTTCCTGGTTTTTTTCGCGATCCCTGAAGGATTTCCTGTTTCTTTTGCCTGCATGTTGTATCAATATTTTTATTTTCAGAGATCTTATATTTGCAACTTGCTCCTTGCTATTGGTTCATTATTGAATCTTGTTTATTGGTTGTTTCAATTTTGCCTTACTTCCTAATGTGGCTCTCGGAATCTGCAGGCCCTTGCTTGATCACAAGTGAGCCTCATTTGTGTAACTCCAAGGTTTTTCCAATTGTCTATGCTGTGAAAATAAAAATGAAGCGTACACACGATTGTTTTATTTAAATCTTTATTTTGGTGTTATATTTTAATGATCTAGTCAATTTCTGTACCTCATTGGCATCATCGTGAGAATACCATTTCTGAATCTACAGGACTTCCAGCTGAGACAACAATTGAGAGGTTTGTGACGATTGGTGCATACAGTCTCTTGAGGTCATGTACGATCGAGCCGGAGTGCATTATCGGACAGCATTCTATTCTCATGGAAGGTTCCTTGGTGGAGACTCACTCTATCCTTGAAGCCGGTTCCGTAGTTCCCCCAGGCAGGAGAATCCCAACCTGCGAGCTTTGGGCAGGTAATCCAGCCAGGTTTGTTCGGGCACTGACCCATGAAGAAACCTTAGAAATCCCAAAACTCGCTGTAGCAATTAATGATCTGAGCAAAGAACATTTCTCAGAGTTCCTTCCATGCTCAACAGTATATCTGGAAGTTGAGAAGTTGAAGAAGTCCCTGGGAATAACTATTTGATTTCATGTTTCCATATATGAGTATTCGATCATGTCGGCTTTAGTATGCCGATGACATTGTATGTTGAGGTTATACCCTAAACAGAAAAGCGAATCATTTTATACCCCAACCCCGAGAGACCGACCCAGCTTTTTTCATTCACGAAACGAAAAAAGAGGAATCATGGAGATGCGGGGTATCAATTCCCGTACCTCTCGCATGCTAAGCGAGCGCTCTACCATCTAAGCTACATCCTTTTGTTGTACAATTACTAGAAAACAAGTATTCATCCTTTTCTTGTTTCATAACAACACAAGATCACGACGTACGCTAGCCATGATATCGAAGCAGGTATATCATCCATTCACATACCTACAGATTAAATACATATAGGCTAAAAAGGTGCATTTTAACCCTTTGAATTTTTTATCAATTCAAAGGTATTCAGTCGTGAGATAATGACTAAAATAATATCTTTAAAAAAAATCTTAATATAATCCACTTCGAGTATTATTTTTTAAAGTAGTATAATTGCTACAGTACCTTTAGAAAACTTCAAGATTATATGGAGTCTTTAGTTGAAGACTCCAAAACTACTATGCGACTTTAATCTTGACAAAGCTAAAGACGCATGGTAATCCATGCGTCTTCCACTAGTAGCAACAATGACCCTAAATCAAGAAATAATACGGTGAGATTCTTATAGGGGAAGTGTTTTTTTGTCACTGCTCTACATGAGTAGGGTAGCCAGTCAGTCATACCTAGTTCAAAACGGCTGATAGCAACTCTAATCTCGTAACAAGCCTTTTAAAGTTTTAATTCATTTGAACTACCGTAATACGATTTCGACAAGTGTATATATTCGATTTCATATATATATAAACTCACTCATACCTACAAATTAAATTTACATTTGACTAACAATAGATTTTAAGGTTCCTTCCCATAGTTCAAAATGATGGGATCGAGTATACACTAAGGGTGCGTTTGGTTCACGGAATGTAAGATTACCAGTGGGAATAAAAGATTACCAGGGAATAGGATTACTGTGAATGTTGTATTTTGTGTTTGGTTGGTTTAGCATGAATGTAAGATTACCGTGTTTGGTTAAAGGAATAAAATGTTATTGTAATGTATATTTGACCAAATTGTCCTTATTATATATTTGTATAATATTACAAATTGTAAAAATATTTATATATTTTCTTTAAAAATTTAATTCATAATATTTATATAATTTTTTTACAAAATTAAAAATATAAAAAATGTTTAATGAAAGAGTAAAATTTTTTTAACTCCTGAACTTCATATAAAATTTTAATTATAAACTTTTTTTTTTGTAAATCTAAAATAATTTAAGGATAAATTTGTAATTTAACCTTCGTAGAATTTTTATTATTCAATGACAGAAGAATGATATTTTTGAAAAAAAATAAAAATTTAAGGGCATTTTAGTCCAAAACGGCGATAATGTTACAATACCTAAGGGAATGGAGGTAATGACATTCCCGGTAATATACCCCAAAAAAATCTACTATTTGTAATAAAACATTACCGGGAATGAGATTCTCGGCCAACCAAACATGTGAATGTCAATTCTTGAAACAAACACCCCTAAAGTGATATTCACGAGTCTTATTTTGGTACTCAAATTTTGATTTCTCAAATATGATAGACACGATAAGACGATATTCACGAGTCTTATTGCAGATCGAAGAGAAATCTTCAGTAAGGATTGTAGGTTTGGATGTGTTGGAGAATGTTTTGGAAGTTCTCAATGAACTTCTCCACCGGGTGAGAGTGCATCCCTTCGTAAGTAGTCACCACAATTTCATCATCTTTTGAACTTCGTTGCACTTGTTTCTTCACATTGCACTCCTTGTGCGTGCACCTATAATAACTTCTGCAAATCAACAAGACAAAAACAACCCAAATGGAAGATGAAAATCCATGCAAATTTCGCTCCTTTCGAGACTTATATCACTTATATATATATATATATATATATATATATATATATATATATAGACGACTTAGATTAATTAACAATAGAGAATGAGAAGATATTCATTAAAGAAAAATAAGGAGATGATAATCGTGATCGTCTATTTTCACTCGTCCAACGATCTTAAAATGTGTAAAATTAAAAGTTTTATACTATGTATTACTTTTGAAATGTGATTTTGAAAAGTGCGGTAAAAATTATTGGGTAAATTACACATTTAGTACCTAAACGATCAGTTTTGGTCCGTTTGAGTATCTAAATTTTTAATTTTTTCAAAATCATACCTAACGTTTAGTTTTCATTTCATTTTAGTACACCACCATTAAAAACTTAAAGCGTTTAGTACCTAAAATGTTCGTTTTGGTCCCTAAACTTTCATTTTTTTCAAAAACTTAATGTTAAATTTTGAACTGAGTACTAAAATGAAACAATTAAAAGTTTTCAACGAAAGGGTATTAAAATGAAATAAAAACTAAAATTTAGATATGGTTTTGAAATTTTTTAAAAGTTTAGGTACTAAAATGGACCAAAACTAATAGTTTAGGTACTAAACATATAATTAACCCAAAAGTATTTTTTAAATTATTTTAAAAAATACAGTTTAAAGATTAACTATTTGAGATTACCGTTAAAAAGTGAGTTTTAAAAAGATAAAATTTACATTTTATACGTTGTGTTGTAAATTAAAAATATAATATTTAAAGCTGAAAATATGATTTCACAAAAAATTGTTTTCCATAACAAAATTTAGAAATTTAAGTTTATAAGATTAGGTCGAAAATCACTTTTCCAACCATGATTTTAAATCAAATTTTAAGTATTTAACATTGCTTACGGGGCGAAAAAGTATTTTTTTCTCATTGCCAGAAGCGTAAAGTGGATCCTAACTCATATATTTAGTGACGGAGGGACCATGACCTCTGAAATTTTTAGGTTTAACTACATCTTAGGTCTCTAAAGGTTTTGAAACTATGCAAATGAAGTCCTACTCCTGTTAAATTTTTTTGGTTTAATTACTTCTTAGGTTCCTAATATTTTTGAAACTAGAAAAATTAAGCTCGACCCACCAATTTTTAATTTACATACTTTTTAGGTCCCTATTAATTTTGATATTAGATAACATAAGCAATACCCTCATTATTTTCGTTTAAATTCTTCTTAGATACCTGCCAATTTCAAATTTAAGCAACTTAAACCCTAACACTTGCACCTAAGTGTGTATAATTTCTGGTCTTTTGCCGAGCTAATAAAGAAATTGAATTATGTCGAATTAAAGTAAGGGTACTAAATTGACAAGTCGAACATAGTATGAGGACTAAATCCGAAATTCGTAGGAATGAAAAAAATACCTAGGGAATTTGCTGTTTTTAACAGTTTTCTGCCCATATTTCCTCCAACGATACCCATCGTCAAGAATATCAACTTGACTCCTCGTTTGAAATGCATACTTGTGCTTCTTCGTCCCCTCCTTCTTGTCACCTTTCTTCCCTCCGACTTTCACTCGCTCCTTGTCATCACCGTCGGCTCCCGAGTAACTCGGACGATGAGGGTTCATCATCATTATCGACGATGGCGAAACCGATGATCCGTCCGAGAAAACTACGGGATAATTCTCCATTGAAATAAGGTAGAGGTATATGTGGGGGGAAAAGGGTGGGCGGCATAATGGCCATTGGCCAACGTATATAATGTGACTGAAAATGGCAAAAGGGAAATTGAATGCATGGACCGAACCGGAGGCTAATTCTTCATGCATGAATCGAAAGACACCAAGTTGAGTCGTACACGTCACCTAACACTACTTTATTATCACATTTTTTTTTGAATTAATCACTTGTATCCGATCTATTAACCGACTAATCCAGATCGGGTACTGCAGAAGCAATAGCGACCCCCAACCCAGTTTGCTCCATTCGCAAACACCAATATTCGAACCCTGACCTTGCTTAAGAGACCTAGTACTTCATCCTACTAGATCAACTACTTGTTGGTATTATCACATATTTTTTAGTGACATATCTAGAAATATTTTTTAAGGTTAGACACATATGTACTTATAATAAAATTCTTTTGTATGGGGTAGGCACTAATAGAATTTTAGAGTGGACACGTCAGTAAAATGAATAACAAATAAAAATATTAAAAAATCAGTTAAACAATATAAGAAATGAAGAATTCGTATACATATTATTATCGACGGTGAAAGATAAACGTCATTATTTATGATATAAATATGATGATAACGTATTGATAGACTTTATCATAACCCAAACACAATTTATTTAAGATGGTTACAAACATTTATTAATATAATAGAAAACAATATCTACCAATTTTGTTAGAGAAGTGGAAGATTTTCTTTTGAAAGTAAAAGAAAAACAAAGCGATATAAAAGAAAAACATTAAGGATAATACAATAGAAATTAGGGTAAATTATGCATTTATTTTTGATCCTTTTAGTACCTAAAGTTTTAATTTTTAAAAACCATATCTAACATTTAATTTTTGTTTCATTTTAGTACTACCTTGTTAAAAACTTAACATCTTTAGTACTTAAACTATCGGTTTTGGCCCGATTTAGTACATAAACTTTCAATTTGTAAACTTTAACATTAAGTTTTGAACAAGGTACTAAAATGAAACAAAAACTAAACTTTAGGTATAGTTTTAAATTTTTTGAAAATTTAAATATTAAAACGAACCAAAACTAATAGTTTATACACATAGTTTACACTAAAAACTATGATAAATATAAGTGGCAGTCATTTGATCAAAAAGGGGGAGAAGTTTGGTTTGAAAATTCAATTTCTTAATGAAAAAGGGGAAGCTTAACATTTTCATATATTTTCCAACAATTGTTAACAATTGATATCATTTTCATTAAACATTTTATTAAGGCAGAGTTTTGCCAAAAACAAATTTTCAAATGTTTTGTTATATCAAAAAGGGGGAGATTGTTGAATTATGTTTCGATATAACAAATTTAAGGCAAACTGTTTTTTTGGACTTGAATTGAATTTATTCAAAGTTTTAAAAAGGTTTCAAAAATAATTCAAAGTCCA